GTCGGTACGTTTATTTCCGGGACGTGGCAATAGCCATACTGTAAAGGGGATAATTATTCACTGGGTTTTAATTTTGCTTATTTCGCTGACTGGAAAAATGCGCTAAATTAAAACACAGTGAATATGTAAAATTTAGCATAGAACACATTATCTAAATGACGAAACCGTGAATTTAAAACCCACTGAATATGCCTGAAATGGTAAATCAGTGAAATTTAAACCCAGTGAAAATTAGTCATTTTACAGTATTGTCTCCTGCCACAGGCGTGGCACGAGACACTCCGAAATAATATAGCGAGCGACATATATAGATATGGACTCTTAAAACACACAGCAAAGTGATGTCATGTGTTTCGAAACACGTCATAATCAAAACGTATTTTTTATTGGAGTCGCGGGCGGGCCGAAAAAATATTCTTTGAAAGTTGAAAGAAAAAATCGTCGTAAAACCACAGATAATACTAATTACTAGATTCTTCAGTAAGCGTAGCACATTTAATAAGACATTAACAATGATAAGGCATTCACAGGTATTCAGATCACCAATAACATGACCCACAGTTTGCGTATAGTTGAATAAGGTCACACGATGTCAACATTAAATCACTGCAATACGTATTTACACAGGAGAGAATTCGAGACGATTGTGCCAGTGAGTGAGTGACACTAGACATACTTTAACCTTATTATGAAGCATACTTCTTTTGTCAGAAAAACGGAACTTATTACGGTCAAAGGATGTGATCGAACTAGTCTGAATTGTATGTACATTACCCGGGGAACATTGTCAGCAATACTCAGCGACTACCGTGTATATTTCTATTTCTGGCAATTATTTTTAATGTATGCATATACTTCATCAGCATCAACAGTAATCAATAGTTAGCAAGTTTTTTTTTACATTATCAAACAGATATTTTGACAGTATTTCCTATGTTCAATTTCATAATGATCATATGAAATTGAGAGATACTAGTATTCAAAAGCCTTGTCAAGTTATCACATACTGTAAAATACTTTATTTAAACTGGAATTAGTTTTCGCTGAAAAGACCTTTTGAGTGTTTTGTATGGAATGTATTTTCACTGATATTTGACAAGTTGAATGTAAAGTATAGGAACAGTATATTCACTGGATTTTATTTTCAATGAATCATTCCTTCAGCAAAAATAGAGAAAATTTATTCCAAGCGAAAATAAAGTATTCTACAGTACTATAAATTCATTCATACCATTACTTTTTCTAGTAACTGTGTTCATATACAGTTATATACAAAGAATATATCTACAAATATCAATTTATCATTTCTAGCATTCTTCATTTATTTCAGTGTAAGCATAGTAAACATGGCTCTTGTGAAGTGTATCAAAAATACAAAAATAATAAAAAGCTACTGATTCACTAAAATTGCATCAGTCACAATAAAAATAAATAACCTGTGTAAATAACTCCCCAAATAAGCACCTCAATAAAGTACCTGCCACTACTCGTTTCATTCACATGTTGGTACATTCTGCAAGGATTCACACGCAGGTGGGTTGGGCGGAGTGATTACATTAAAACATGCGAGTAATGACAGAAATGATGAACCTAAAATCTTTACTAAGTAGGCGTGGTCTCAGATTCCATTAGAACAGTCCAAGCAATGACAAGTAAGAGCAATATTGTGGTAAGTTTGTTTATTCTGATTTGCACCATAATGAGAATTCTTATAATTAGTACAATGAAAATTTATGATCACAATCCCGCAATGAAACGCACATCTAACGATGATTAAAGCACCAACAAAATACCAGATTAATTTGCATAGTAAAAGGGACGGAATAGGAGACCACATTCTAAAAAAAAACATGCTATGCAAACCTGTATATTTTGCAATAAATATTTTGATTCGTAAAATTTAATTTTACATGAAAGACACCCTTCAATCATTTGGGATCACAAATGATGCACAGATTTTAATCGGCATGGCGACCAACTCAGAGTTGAGAAAGACCAAATGTTGATGGAAGGGTGCATTTGACCTCTGACCTAAAATCTCCAGTTTTCTTCAGTGAAAAGGGGCCAATCATTATCGTTTACTCTTTCAATGACCAGATTTGTTATTGTCAATTTTTACTTTACCAATTTGGGCAAATTTTCTGTAATTTTCTTTAATTTCAAAGAAAAATACACAATTTTGAACTATGATCATTAACTTGATTAAAAACAAGTGGATTCAAAAAACCAGATTGTTTTGTATAAGGCATGTAAAGGTAAAAGTGAAAATAACAAATATGTGTTTTTTGTGTCATTGAATTAATCGTGAAAATATGTTTGATTAATTCCTCTCATTTCTTTTTATATGTCAAGAAATAATCAATTATGTGACACAAAAAACACACATGTCAAATAGAGGCAACCCTTAAAAGTGAAGACTAAACTAAAACATCCTCCAAAACAGAACATTGTAATACCCATGTTTGGAATTCAAAATGTCTGCATGTCTTCCATATTTGGTGGGAGTCATAGAGCCAAAAACTGTGATTGGTAGAGGATGAACACCTGACTGCAGACACAATCACAGATAAAATCCAGTTCACTTTTTCAACCAATCAGTGGACAGGATATCAATGATTGTGAGCACTAGCAGGGAAAATGATGATTGTCATTTGTCAACCGCTATGATGGAGCCTCCATCTCACGGGGGATGAATTTTAAATATGAATAAATAAAAATAACAATAACTTCCATATTGAAAACAAACCATCGTAATTTTATCATCATAAATCATGGCAACCAGAGTTGTGTTACCATTAAATGCCATGGACCTCACAAGAATTACAGATGAATATACATGATAAATACAATATAAATAACAAAAAAAAAAACAATGATAAAATCAATAATCTTTTGTTGCCATGGTGAACAAAATTTGTTTTGATTTTTGGCAAAAAAAAAATTTTAAGAACTTTAAATTAAAAATGATGGCAACAGATGAGACGATGCACAACAATTTGACAGAACCAAACTCTTCAAATATTTTTGAATTAATGAATTGTCAACAATCGCTTCCCATCAAAATAAACTGTAAAAATAAGAGAATTCACTAAAAAGGCAAGAATTTTTGGTACAGTTCACATGTTAACAGTAATATAAACAATAAAAAAACGCAAATAAAATTGTAAAACTCCTGGATGACAATTACAGATTTTCCCTGGAGCTTTTTTTTTTCCTGGAGTATAGTTTTATACTTTACCATGGCCGCTGACTAAAAATAAGTAAAATACTTAAAATTACAATTAGTTGCATAGAGATGTTCTAAATGTCTGCCACTAGGTGGGAAGAATATACAGATTCTATATACAGGTAAAAAATATACAATTGTTATTAAGAATTCTGCAAAGACTTTTATAAACACTGTTTTAACTTAAATTCTATTTCCCTGAAACCTTTGAAAGCATTATTTGATGGAATCTCATCCCGTTTAACCGGTATTAACCAGTTGGAACCAGTATAATGTTGTACAGCCACAACAGACAAGAATAAACTTTTTCCTTTGGTATGTTACCCAATATACAGTATAATATTTTTAAAAAGTTAGATTTTTTTTCAACAATACAACCTCAACATTATAAATTCTTGTGTTATTTTTTCCCTTCAAAATTTCATTATTGTTAGGTTCTGTACATTTTATTACAGGGAAAGCATTACAAAATAAATTTTAATAAAACAACGGAGTACTGATACTGTTTTAAATATACGGAAGTTTGTATCATTCAATTTAATATTCTGTTTTGAATTTGAATTTAATTTAAGGAATTTTAATTTAGTTTCTTCATTTTCTTGCTTTAATTTTATTACTGCATAAATTAAATATTGTTTTGTTTTTTTTTCAGTTTCAGACTCTTGAGCCCCCGAGAGAATTCTTCCCTGGTGGGGGTCGGTTATTTCGTCCTGATCGTTGTCTCGGACTGTCACTTGCTGTAGAGGAATGCCCGTTATGAAGGCTGCCTTGACTTCGAGATTTCTTCTGTAAATCAAATACAATGATTTTAAAAGTTTGTTGTGGGTAATGAATACATACATTCAAGTGATGAATTTTTTCTAAACTGTTTGCATCGCTATTATTTACATGACATAGTCCCTGTTGTGCAACAGTGAGGTGCAATGAGTCAGTCATTTTTGAATCAAACTCAAGAATGAATGCATGGGAATATGTGTGACATGTATAATATAGGTGTGAAGTCAGATTGCTCCAGAACAACATTTTTTGAAAACAAAATAGCCACCATGCAGTTGGCTGAATTCAATTTGTAAAACAAAATCACATGCTTTATACCAGTTAAATCTACTCATATACATCTGACAATTTACTCTAAATTGACAGAATTGCTAGATTTTAATGCATTTTTAGCTTTCAAATGGCCACCAAGCTGCCATCTTGAATTGGATAGTGAAACAAAAGCTTAATATGTGAAGTTTGAATGTGATCAATCAAAGCATGTCCGAGACACAAATGTGGATACACGTACATGCATGGAGATCACTATTTGTAAGTCCCTGTTTTCAGACAATCACAATGACTAAATTTTCACTGTGACTCCTTGACTTGTGAAGCTCAGTACAGGATTTATTTTGGATGCACAAAATTGATGCTTAGCTTCTTTATGAATAGGAATGAAAAGATATGTATTCTGTCATATGAACACATATGAATATATTCCAAGTGATCAAGTTTCATACCATACCTTTTTACGTCCTTTGTTTCCAGAAACATGAATTTCTTCAATAAAATTTGAGGGCACAAGTCCCTTTTTACCATGAAGCTGACAAAAAATTAAGTAAATATTAATTTTACAAAAAATATAAAAAATTGAAACTCTAAAATTAAAAGTTTTAAAAATTCCCTTGACATATACACCTGGTGCTCAATGCATGCATAAATACTGATGCACAAAACATCATGGAAAGTTAGCAACAACCAAATTGTTTGAATGAATACATCGATCAAGCCTGACATATAGCAACAAGCATGTGATGATAAAGAGACGCGTAAACATTCCGACAGACTCACTGACATACCTTTCCATGGTAGAACCCGTCAGGTCGGGGTGGACCATATATGGTTATGATGTCACCTTCATTGAATTGTAATTCAAATGCAGGATAATCATTCGGAGAATGATCGGCGGGAATATAATCATAGATTGCCATGAACTGAAAATTAAAGTAAACAAAGTAGAGTTAAATATGTCATACAAACTTTTTATTTATTTTATTTACTTAATATTTATATTTATTCATTTATTTTATTTATTTATTATTTATATTTATTTATTTATTTATTTATTTATTTATTTATTTATTTATTTATTTATTTATTTATTTATTTATTTATTTATTTATTTATTTATTTATTTATATTAATTTTATTCAAGGAATGTTTTAATATTGCTCAAACAGAAAACATCTTAACATGAGAAATGAAATGATGACATGAGTGGAATAAATGATATATGTAACAAAAAAACCGTAAATGTATAAATATTCGAATGCAATTTTTGAAAAATAAAATATACATTTTCACTTGTAAAACTGGTATGTGAATATATGGTCATCAGCAAAAAACAAACACTTTTTTGTCATATTTTCATACAATAGTTAAACACGAAAATGACACAACTCCGCAAGGAAGTAATTTACAGGAATGTACAATATATAAACTTACAGTTCTTTTCTGAGGTTCTTCAAAATCACTGAATATAGAAGAGACTTCAGTATCCGCTGCCGATTCACTCGCCATGGATTCAGTTAGGAACGGTGATAGCATATTGCCATCAAATTGCATCTCAACTCGATGTGAGGTTTGTCCCGTCACTGATACAGTCTCAATACTAAATGTAACTGGAATTCGTATATCTATGTTCTCTATAAGAGCCTGAGTAAAAAAAAAATATAAGAAAATCTAACTTCAGTAGGCTGTTATATTTTGGACCACAAACGAAGTACATAACCTCATATTTTACAATACTATTTTACAAGTCACAAATGAATTGATGATTACATTTTGTGTAATTTTACTAATTGGTCATAGTAAACAAACAATTTATGTTTTAAATGCATTTTACAGAACCCATAGTAGCTGCAGTGTGCAACTGTCAGCCATTTTGAATCTGATTGCGAGTTCAAAATATTCCTTTTTTTACAAATAAATTGAAACAAGTATGTCTATAGAAATACTGTAGATTACAGTATTATCCAATAATTAATAAGATATCAGTAAATTATAATAAATCAGTGAAAATATTAGTATTCTACAATAACAACTAACATTCTTGCATGCACAATCATGTTGCAGAAGTACACAAGCACCCAATTCATAATACAACCGTCTGAACACAATTTAATTTTAAAAAAATTACAAAAAAATTACCTTTGTAAGATGAGCACTGTTTACAAGTTGTTTTTGTTTATTATTGAGGTACACCCTGTAACCAGCAACTTGAGCACCATTACTTTTAGCCATTTCGTCCATTGCTGGCGGAACCCATGTAAGTAATACACTACGACTACTGACAATGCGAGAAATGCAGAAATCAGACGGTGACAACGGAGGACCTGTAAAGATAAGAAACAAACCATGTAAGGTGTGTAGTATTGAGAAAATGAATATATGCACATGATGTTATTTTGAAATGCAACAGGAATTAATGACATCCTCATAGAATATATATATATATATATATATATAGAATAAAAGAAACTTGCTTCGGGCATCTATGTGTTTTGATACTCAAGGGTACGACTTACAGGGCCAGTGTTAAAATTAGTTGCATTCACGTAAATTTTGAATAACACTTTTCACCGAACCCAAGTTTTCTTTTATCTTAATTTACTTCATGAAAAGGAACAGAAATATTTGGTACACACCTTCAGACTTGCAGGCCAGTGTTGGTGGTAGGAGGGCCGCAGTGGGTAATCCAGCTGGAGACAACATACTGCTGTTACTCAGGGATAAGCTACCTAAGTCTGGCCTATCTAATCCTGCCCCTCGGAGGTATGTTGGTACACCCCCATTTGCCGAAGATGGAATATTCCCATTGTGTGTGCCAGGTATGCTGGAGAAAGCAGCTGGAACACTTCCAATATTTTGTGTGGGTTGAACTCCCATTGACAGTAGTGTAGGTGCTGATAACTGTGGCAAATTTTTAGATGATAACGGCTGCGAGGACACAGGCTGTGGTAAACTCATAGAAAGTCTCGGTGATGTTGCGATAGGAACTCCATCAATGAACATTGGTGAATTGATATTGTGCAACTGTTCCAGTTGGCTGGCTTCTTCAGCTAACGATGGCGATGGCTCATAATTGAACTCGTAAGGATTGGACCTGGTTTCCGATAATCTACTGTGCAATCGTAGTATCTCTTCAGGGCTCTGTCTTAAATGCGATGAATCCTAAGAAACAGATTATAATAAAAACTGGTTAGAACTGCACATATATGCAAATTAAGAGAAAATTTGGTAAATTCAGTCGCATAATACTGGTATCAGTTAAGAGTGAAAAGAAATATGACAAATTACATAATTTATTGACACATTTCCTGCTTCAACACTAAACAGCGCCCCCTATTGACAAAGTGTGGCAACAAATATTTTAGCAAGACAAAAGAAAAATTGCAAGTCACTGTCAAGGACATAGTCCATGTTTGTATTATAGATGCGAGATTGATAACCTGATGTGTTTGTGTGAAGTTTGAACTTGATTGGTCCAGACTTTAATGAGAAGAACACCGTGGAAGTGAATTTGTTTAAACAAGATGACCACAAGTCAGGAATTTGGAATTTGATGGTGACAAAAATGAACACATGTTTGTCCGATATTATTTCTGATGTATGTATGAAATTGAACTTGATCGGCCCAGGCATGTCAAATATATAGAACTGCATACTTTAAAACAAAATAGCAACCAGTCGGCCATTTTGAACCCGATTCAAAATATAAAATAACGTGCATCAAGGTCCCATTATGTTCAACATATGTACCAAATGTGAACAGTCCATGCACGACTCAGATCTGGTTCCAGAATAGTGAAAATATGTAATTTTGATTTTTTGACCTTAAAATGGCTGCCATTTGGCCATCTTGAATCAAACTATGAAACAAATGCATATTCTATATCATGTCTGATGTATCTGAGAACTTTGAACTTAATCAATTCAAGCATGTGAGATAAGGCTAAATGCAGATAGATGCACGTGCAGTTTGACCTGAAAATTATTTTGATATACACAAGACAAACAACCACAAGTTACTGTCAAAATCAGCGACTCCAGCAGCAAAGAATACTAGCAACTGAGTAATCTTTGAAAATGGAACGTTAGATTTATTCCAGTATAAGTTTTCAAACCTATCCCAGTAAAGTTGCGTAAAATAATTCAAACTACTCCAAGATTATCCTTACCTCAGTTGGTGGAAAAATAACAAAATTAAGAATAAATAGATAATAAATCTGACTGAAATAGACACACTGACTGTTTAATAATGGACTTACTCTAGGCCTTTGTCTCCTTGGGGTTGACGACCTTGGTCTTTCTGAGCTGCCTGTCCCTTGCAGCATATCACCACTGTCTCTGCCATCACCCATGTTACTGCCTCTATCTAACATTCTTGCTAACTCTGGATCCACAGTCAACAGCTCCTGCAATGCAGAACCAGGGGATTTCCTATCTCGCGTGGTCGCACTAGTTTGCGGCAGAGTCGCTGCCACCTGACTAGATGTACTTCTATTGCTAGAAGAGCCGATTGGATCACTGCTAAGGCTTCGTAATAGTTCCTGCATAGCAGCTTCATCAGTATCCTGGATGTTATCTACATCAAGTTGCAGTTGCTGGTGTCTACCGACTGTAGCAGGTGATGAGCTTTCAATCGTTTGCCAGAGAGGTTCACTAAGTTCATTGATCATTCTCGTTGGTAAAGTAGGTGTTCTCCGTGTATACAGAGATGATAATGATGGGGAACTTTCAACCCCGACATCCGAATTTTCGCGTGTGACCTCAGACACTTCATGGATTCCATGTAATGTAGTACTGTACGGTGACATGGGTTCATTGTACTCCTCATCGGGCATTCGAGATTGTAACTTAGTAACCGCTTCCAGGAGTTCATTAGGATGTCCTTTGTGCTGCTGTCTCAGTTCATTGGTTAATTTTTTAATTAATTCATCACGTTCCTTGCATTTCTTTACAAGCCTTGAGACTTTCGCCTACAGTGGGAGAACGATAAATTGTGATGAATAATCAGTCAATAAAACTATTGATAAACACCATTCACTATGTACCTCTATAATATCTACCATGTATCAACATAGATATACTAGTAATCCCATAGAATACCATGGATCACTAAGCACCATAGAATGATCTATATAGCCGTAATCTACTGCCATCTTTCTATTGTCTGTAAGAAAGGACTGTGTACAATACAGCGAGGGTTACAATGTCTAAAACAGTCATGAATCTACTATACATATAACATCATTGGTTTATCAACTATGTGACACTTTATCAACGATGTGACACAAATTCTTCTTCCCAGATCAACAATATTAGCAAGGAACCATGATTTTGGAAAAAGGAAGAGTTCCATTTATATATATATATTTATAATATATTAATTTCTCTACAAAGTAAAATGTTCTTGCACACAAGTATGGTGATGCTACTTCAAATATAATTACATTGAAAAACAGCTTAACACTACAGAAAAGTTTTTCTTAAATAGCGCCCTCAACATTTTACATAGAAAACATTTGTTTTTATTCATTTCAATGCAATAATTTATATAATCCAAGACAGAGAAAATTTGATTTTTTAGATACAGAATTGAAAGGGAAGAAGAAATATATTGTCGATATTGTCCAAATGAAATCACCAACATAAAAAAAATGAGCAAATAAATACCAACAGAAAATTTAAAGCAAAAAAAAACTCCAAAGATGAATAAATTTACAGTGCACATCATAACACACTAGTGGTTTTGTGACATAAACACCTGTAAAATAACAGTGCAGCACTAAAATTACATATACAACTAAAAATACCAACATATAGAGACATAAGATTATGTACAAACAATAGATAAGATGTGTTAGTAAGTACAAATTATGCAAAATATTTATCCACTAGATTTCACTTGAAGTTTATGTTCTCCGGATACTTGCATTTGTGGCACTGCAGCTGGAATACAAACTGTAATTCATACTGACCATGTCTCAACCATACTCAAATTACCATATTTGTTTCATTAGTAGGGCTACTCAATAAAATCATATATAAAACAAAATTTACATTGCTGTATACTGAATCATTGAAATATAACTTATTTTGACCATAGAACAATCTCTGTAATTTATTTGTAAGTGCTTGTGCTACTAATAGAACAAATATGGTACACACAATAATCTATATTTAATGAGTATGACAGCTTGCCTATGTAGATGAAAACAATGTAGCCAGAGTTGTCAATCTACGACTGTGATTGGTTGAACCGAATCACATGATAGCAGTGATATTAACTGACAACTTTGATTACAAAAATTGTGACTAAACATTGAGTTAACTCTGATAAACACAATAACATTGTTAGTTACTGTAAAAGCATTAATTCCTGCTGGATTTTTTTAATTTCCTGTTAGGGTAGAATGCATTTGTTTATATATACTTGTCTTCACACAAATATATGTTGAAATACCCACACAAATTAATTGGGATTCCCAGATGTTTTATGAAGTTAAAATGTCCTATATTTCACATTTTTTGTTATCCAAAATATTTGTCATGGAAATTAGATTCAGTGATCTATTTTGGTCTTTGCTAATTTTCAAAAGTTCGCAAAATTATATCTCTGCAAAAAATTAATACCTCTACAGTAAACGTATACACCCATATGTACAATACCCACAATGCATGCAAAACAAAATACATGTAAGTGATATAACACAGGTAACACTGGTGAAACCTACATGACCACATGGTAACAGTTATCACAATGTAAACAACTCAGTACCTTAAGAGGAGCTACAGCGAGCTCAGCTTCCCGTTTCTTGTGCTCCATATCATCATACTTAGGAGGGATGTTTAAAATGGGAAAGCAAATGGGAGGAAAAATGGGGAAATAGAAAAAAAAAGAAACAAAACAAAGCGAACAAAATAATCAATTAAGGATCATCAAAAATAATCAATAATTTTTAAGAAATTATCAATCCGAAATATTTGTTTTCAAAAGCACATAGAAGTTGTATGGTACAGTAACTTAGTGATGGTTAGTCAATAAGTTAATTTGTTATTTTTAATCGCAATGATAAACACACAAAATGAATGTGTTAATTAAATTAATGCTACATCCTAGTGAGGTTGTCACATGGAGGAATAGGCTGTTTTGCCATGAATATGTTTGAGTTGGTTAGTTTCCATGACAACAGGGAATATTTTAAAAGGGTATAGTAAATAACAATTTGATTTTTCCATTCTCAAATTAATGATATTTTAATCACCATCACTTAGTTTGTCCATATAATAACATATTAGTGCTCTTGATTAAACATGATTCAATATGATTTTGATTTGATTAGAAAATGAAATAAAATCATCACCAATGTACAAAATGCCAACATAATTCCATTGCTAAAGACTATAAGAACTGTTTTTAATATTGGCTTTTCAAAAACATTTTTACATGCATTCCAACATGTGTCAATAACAATTCAATATTGGGAACATTTTTTATTACGTCTGCCAGTTGCCATGGAAATTCATAGATCAGTCATGCTGGTTTTTATACACCTATACACCAATGCAAAAAATCTATTCCTATTTACATTCATGCTATAACATGACTCAAAAATTCAGTGTGACAATTGGTGATGATTCTATTCAAATGACCTATCCCCATATACCTGCAAGCAATCACTCTAATTAGAAAAGCATTAGCACACTAGTTAATAGCAAGAAAAGAAGATAATGTTAGTAACCATGACGATGACACAGAAATCCAACAATGGATCATCCACAACATGCAGAGGTACATACACATACATTAAAAACCAAGACGTCAACGTGCCAGTCTGAGTGGCATACAAACACATGCATATTTCAGCACATAGCGGTACATACATTGTTTTTAATTTCTCTAAAACTCTCCTCTATACCATCTCTTGTGGTATTCAATTTCTCATAATCTTCTAGTTTTCTTGTTAACATGGCCAGTTCCTCAAACAGTTTCTGCTCTTGGTCAGCCTAGAGAAACAGGAGTATTACCATAAAAGAATGCAATGACACTAATTATAAAACAACATCCTTCCAGTACTTAATTCACAAGCTAAAATTACATATTTTGGAAAGCCAGATTCAAAAATATGCAAATGTGACATGTTCCTTCCTATTGTCATGGCAAATGTGTCATTTCTTCCTATTGTCCTGACAAATATATCATTTCTTCCTATTGTCATGACAAATGTGTCATTACTTCCTATTGTCATGACAAATGTGTCATTTCTTCCTATACTTCCTATTGTCATGACAAATGTGTCATTTCTTCCTATTGTCATGACCAATGTGTCATTTCTTCCTATACTTCATATTGTCATGACAAATGTGTCATTACTTCCTATTGTCATGACAAATGTGTCATTTCTTCCTATACTTCATATTGTCATGACAAATGTGTCATTACTTCCTATTGTCATGACAAATGTGTCATTTCTTCCTATTGTCATGACCAATGTGTCATTTCTTTCTATTATCATGACAAATGTGCCATTTCTTCCTATACTTCCTATTGTCATGGCAAATGTGTCATTACTTCCTATTGTTATGACAAATGTGCCATTTCTTTCTATTATCATGACAAATGTGCCATTTCTTTCTATTGTCATGACAAATGTGTCATTACTTCCTATTGTCATGACAAATGTGCCATTTCTTCCTATTGTCATGACAAATGTGTCATTACTTCATATTGTCATGACAAATATGTCATTTCTTCTTATTGTCATGACAAATGTGCCATTTCTGCACATTGTCATGACAAATGGGTGATTTCTTCCTAATGTCATGACAAATGTGTCATTTCTGCCAATTGTCATGACAAATGGGTGATTTCTTCCTATTGTCATGACAAATGGGCCATTTCTGCCAATTGTCATGACAAATGTGTCATCTCTTTCTATTTTCATGACAAATGCAACATATTTCTTTTTATTATCATCACAAACATAATGCCTCTTGCTATTGTTATAACATACTTATAAAGAGATGAATTCAAATATAAATAATCCACTAGTTCTAGTTTACAGTATCAAATTACATGATTGTACCTTGAGTTTAAGAGCAGCCTCTAAAGCTTGTAGTTTACCAAGTATGATATCTCTTTCATCACGTATCTTTTCTAAATCTTTCAGTTTATTCTTAAGATCTTCATATTTCTTCTTCAAGGATTTCAATTCTTCCAGGGTGCTGTCCAGTTCCAGGCACTTTGCTTGAAACTAGAAAAAAAGACAAAAAAACAAAAAGATAAACCACCGTTGTTTGATGCACTAAACTTTTTTGTTATTTAAACCTGAGCCTAACTCAGAACAGAGATTGTCGTTAATTTCATTCACAACACTCATGCAAGCAAAGAAATCATAAAAAAGTTCATCATAATTTTAATATTTTGCACACAGGATTGTGTTGTTGTTTTCTTGTTACTAAGAATAGTATAAATCACACTGAAGTCTGGCAATATATTTTAGAGAGTCTACAAAGCAATCTAACTCTTACCTCTTGTTTTAATGCTTCATACTTGCCAGCTAACTCATTGTATTTGGAATCTGCTGACGTCTGAGCAATTTTCTTCTGCTGTTCCAGACCACCTACCTCATGTCGTAGTTTTTGTAACTCTGAGTTCTTTTGTTCCAACTCTTGTTCCTAAGAATCAAGGAATAATCACAAATGACACAAACAATTTGAATAAGATATTTTGTTACATCATTTTGTGAACAAAACATTCATTCATTCCAGTGATTAATGTAAAATTTGAGAAGACTACTGTATTTGCTAGATTGATATATTCACAAACATAATTTCAAAGTGAAATATTGTATAAACGATACATGTTTTGATTTGAATTATTTCTCATTCAATAGGGATATACCTTAGCTGCTAAATCTTTTTCTCGCCTGTCAAGTTTTGTTCTGTAAACATCATTCAAGTTGGTCATCTTGTTCATCTCTTCTTTCTTGTCTTGCAATTGTTTTTGTTTTCCCTCAAGCTGTGTCAGTATAAACAACTATTATTATCAAATTCATTCTGGCATTCACAGAAACCTAATTATGCTATAGGCTTATAATTTTTATTTCATTTACAAGTGATAAAAATAAATTTCGGAAACAGAAAAACAGTGCTCACAAGCAGTGCAAGTGCCTCTTCAAAGCCATCTGTTTCTTTTTCATTTTCATTTTCACTTTAATTTTCATTTTGACGTTTATTTTCATTTTGACTTTCATTTTCATTTCTGTGAGATTTGACTTTTGTTTTTTAGCTCCACATCAGAAACTTATGCACACATGCCTACTTTTAAACTTAACCCAAAATGGTAAACATGAAGGTAACTTAATTGGCTATGTATTCAGCTCCAGCAATTCAAACTTATTTCATTTTAAATTCATTCCTGAAACTTTAAGTTATTTTAGAGTACTGCTCTATACTTTGATTGAGAATGTAACCTGACTCAAGGTAATATCCCACATCCAAGGTCATTCATTAACCTTTCAATAAATTGAACTTTATATAAAATTGATTTTTACGCTACATAATTCCAAGCAACAATAAAATTGCTTACTTAATTTTGCTTACATCTGACAAGAATTTAAAAACATACATGGCATATCTAGTAGCTAATTATGTTACTACCCTAAAATCTTTATTAGAAGCCGCATCCCTAACACAAGCCGCACCCATTTATTTTGAACAATTGAGAACCAAAAATTCATCACTTCTCATATGTGTAGATGCTCTAGTAAAAGCTGCATCCCCTCTGGTTGCAGATTTTACAGCGATGGAATGTTCAAACGCACTACCATATCATATCACAGTAGCATGTAAAATTTACTATTAGTAAATACAGCGCCATGTTGAATGACTACGTATCATGAATAGAGATACAGGTCACAGCAGTAGTACTTCAACTGAGTAAACATTTAAACACAGACAACATGGCTACTCCAAATAATAAAACGGCTATAGATATATGACATTAATATAGACAAAAAACATTGCTATTCTTTTACCTCTTCTCTGAGCGCAGCTACCTGACCGTCATCAGAATGGCTTCCTCTTAGCAATCGTTCTAATCGCATAACCTGGAAATAGAATGTGATTTGAACGTTAAGAGTATGATCACACAATGTACAGGGATAGATCACTTTAACAAGGAGTCAGTTTACTTCCTTCCCACATGATATCTGATACCACAACAATGAACATCACATGGTTCAAGTTATAGAGTCTGTCAGCAGCACTAAAAGGGTATTTAAACTACGGTTGCTGCTTGCTACCTTACTGAACACTTCTTCCACACAACAGTAAACGTCTGTGTGAAGTTGAAGATAACATCTGTGTGTCAATAAACATATCGTCCATAAGGGTACTTTTTTATTTTATTAGTTTCTCATAAGTTAGATGCAAAGAAATTGGGTCAGACTAAAACCAAAAGACGAGAGTCCACAAAAAGTTATATAAACTAAGTTAAATACCGTAATATTCTGTCAAGTTTTTTTTTCAAGAAAATGGTTTTACATGAAAGCTAGACTCTAGGAATGCCACATAATCAGGATTTAAGCTTCAACGGTTTACAGAATTTATGCATACTAGTATTTACTTTTTCCTCCCAAATCAGGTTTGCATGAACACCATATTTTGCTTCCTGGATCCCCAATATAAATGAGGATCTCTGTTTTCAATACATGAAAGGATCTCATTTGTAATAAAAATACACATGGCTTACAATCAATTTTTCTTCATTTTATCATTGGGACTCACTACACCAAAATGGAAATACAATCCCTGCTTTCAACTACAAAATGTCATTGAATACCAAACATTTTGCAATAATCACTCTAAAATTTGTAATATTTTATATAGGAAAGGAGAGTTTAAATGAGAAATGTTGACAAAATATGGTTATCCCAGTAAGGATGAGATGACATTTGACCTTCATAGCAACACACTGGTTTTTTGAAACACCCAATCAGCATGCTGGTGTCTTAATACAAACTAAGGCTGAAAAGTCAGAAATACAAATGATGGTTCTCAAACTTCTTCACCAGTACAAACCACCATAGAGAATGAACCACAAGATTACTTCATTTTATACCAAACTTTATAATAATTATATTTCAAAAATACATACCAATCTTTCTTTAAGACAACAATTTTTTAGTAAAATTTTGCCTGAAAACAACTATGATATTTTGTTTTCCAGCTTCCCCTTAATAAATGATTATCATCAAGACATACTTTCTCTATTTCACTAAATTTTTCAATGTAACAAATGACTAAAAAATGAAACCTCACCTCTGCCTTTAGTGATGTCAGTTGTCCATTCTTATCTCTGAATTCAGCATGAAGTTGCGTATTTTCCATCCGAAGGCTTTTGGATAATTTACATTTTTCTTCCAGGGCTTCTTCCTTTTCCTGAAGCTAAAAAATAAATGTAAAATATATAAAAAAAAATAAATAAATAAAAATACTGGGATACATAAATTCACCGATACCAATAAATATTTTGTAAACCACAAGAACCTTAGCGATAAATGCTGCAAACCAAATCTTAAAAAGCTTTTTTTCCCCAGCCTTACAACCTTTATTGCAACATGCGTTTTTGAGTAAAACCCAAGATTACAAGAAGACCTTCACCAAAAATCCTATAAAAACAAATTTACAACATAGAAGAGATACACAAAAAAAACAAAACATAGTCAAGTCATGATAACCTTTACCCTCCAGGTATAACATGATGTAGTGGATATAAAGTTATTTGTGGATGTATGATACCAACATTCTGTTAACATTACAACATCGCCTGCCGACACCGTAATATACGATTCGACTATCTGTAGACGCTTTCAGCAGGCAATGTGTTAATGAATGCACTATGTACTTAAGAATTAAAATTAAATTAATCGGACACATCTCACAGTTGAACTAAATGTGCATTTTTTTTTATAGAATTTATTGATTTGTTTTGTTTGTTTGGTATCTTGCAAGGCAGTTGGGAATAACTGTTGTGAATCTTTCGACTGACAACAACACAACTGCAACAGTTATGGGTTTAGAATTCAATATTGTCAGAATAAATCATCACAAAATGAAAAAACAGCATTGAATAATAAAAAAATAAAAAATAAATGATTTTTTTTTAGATTTTAACCTGCTAAAACACGCAGAAAAAATAAATAAAACCAACAGTTTTAAAAGGTGTTAGACTAAAGATAATTTTTTTAACTTAGATAATTGTATGTATATAATTGTTAATTATATAATTAATATAGCTTTAGTAATGTTTTGTTTAATTAGGTTAGTTTTTGTGTTGAAAACAATGACAAATTTGGATATAGTAAAATTGGACAACCATAGTATTATGGTCTACACTAATTTATTACTTATGCAGGTAGAAAATAATGTACAGCAAATGAATCAATGGTCACATGACTGTCACATGACCTGACAGAATTAGCAAGATACATGCTACTTTCTACCAGGCTATTATTATGCAAATGAGTTGATTTTTATTTATAACTGCACAGGGCTCCCCAGAGACATGGAGCAGTCATGCAGTAAACTTTGATCTTTGACCTCTGACCCTCACCTTGTACTTAAGATCAGCAATCTCCTCAATTTCCTGCATGCATGAAAATGAAAATGTTGAATGAAATGCAAAAAATGAAACATTACCCGAGAAACCATTTACAAGTGAGCCATGTGTAATATAACAATGTGATACACAAGGAAACATAATGATACATACTTATGCAAATTGAACATACAATGATAATATTAGAATAACAATGTGATACAAAAGGAAACATAATGATACATACTGATGCAAACTGACCATACAATGGTAACATTAGCAGACAAAATGATGATAAGACAAGGAAACAGTTATAAACAAAAGTTAGAGCAAACTCCCAACCGAAAAAAAAAATCATTCAGCTAATTAACTGGAAAGAGACAGCACAAAAGAGAAGTTAGAAATATGATATCAAGTGAGTGCAAAAATTAGTCACGATTATAAAACATGTGACATTATTATTATTTTTTAAATTAATATTTATTTCATATTGCGATAAACATGGGAGAACATATAATTAATAACAAATAAAACTGACACCACTAGAACCACATAATTATTATTACACATAATTAGTCATAAAATCAATTAAAAAAAATTATATAAATAATTCCAAAAAATTGTGTTATTTTAAAAACATAAATTGCAAAAGTAAGTAAAACTTAACCATTATGCTACCAACTATACCTTAGAGTTAATAATTTTAATGGTGTTCAATTTAAAACTTGAAACAATTGCACCTTTTTACTGAATAGCACCACAGACCAATTTTTACAAGTTACTTTAAACATTATTTTTTTTAACACAATAATTCCCACCTTTATTTTATAAGATATATCTCTGTCTCTTAGAAGAGCTGCTCTTTCCTACAGAAACGGGACAGACATGAAGGAAACGAATAGTGATGTGACAGCAGACAATACAAAGAAAAGGAATATATATAAGTAAATATTGTTTGGAAAAGATAGATCTGGGAAGGATGATAAAATTGAAAATAGGAGACATCGGGAAAATTGTATAGGTAAACGACAATTAACATAATTTTTATAAGACAGGGAAACAGATATATGTAAGCACTGACAGGTTGTAATACTGTGTAACATCTGTGTTATTCATTAATCCATTGAACGACAAATTTTCCCTCCAAAATTTGGGTCAACTTTTTGCAGATTTTTATGTATTTTTCTGTAGTTGTTTTGTTGATTTTTGACCAGGTGGTCATAATTATTCAAAGACAACAGAACTTGCTCAAAATGTGTGAATAAAAATGGAAAAAATGATGTAATATGAGAAATATGACAAGAGTTGGCGTTTGACGTTCAAAGGGTTAAGTCTAAAATACTGTAAACTGCTTTATTTTCAGTGCAATCAATTTTTGTGACACGATACTACAACATTCAGGGGACGAAATTTGTCATCTGTCACTGAAACTCACTTTCATTAAAATTTACGTTTACCCAACAGACAAAATTCACAAAAATTTACTGTCATGAAAAATAAAACAGTTTACAGTAAACACGGTGTAATGGATTAGCTTACTACGATAGATTGTGACATAACAATGCGGTTATTTTTATCAAGGAAGAGTTAATTCTATATATCTACTAGGTGACTTAAGTTCCATGTATTCAGTTATCTCAGCATTTGTTTGTGACTATTCTATATTCTGGTCGTGACTTGAGACACGTGTAATCCACTGAGACAATCGGAATAATTGGAGGTTAGTAATAAAATACGAGTAATCCATGTGATGTCGGTATCACCATACGAGGCAGTTCGTCTAGATTCACCACCTGATAAAAGTAAGTAGTGACTAAACATTTTACCTCGCTTTCCGCTGTAAGGTCAACTATTTTACGTTTCAGTTGATCCTTTTCAGCTTCGTGGGAGTCCCGTTCACTCAGCTGTCTTTGTACCATCTTGGTTACCCACAGAGGCGTGGGAGGCTTAGGGCAAGTTTCTGGACCCTCTTCGGAAGGCACTCTAGGTAAAGTGAGAGGTTTGCCAGGAACAGGAAAGACGAAGGCGGAAGTGTTCTCATCAGCATACTCCCGGTCTGTTCCGGTTGACTGAGTTTCCATACCACTGTCAAACGATGGCGGTCTCTGGACGTGCAGTGTGGCCTGTTTTCTAGAGGATTCTATCACCAGGTGGGAAGCGCTTGGAGGTTCTGACGCTGGAAGTGGTGGCAAATCCACGTCTGAGAAGTCAGATTCTGAATCAATGCCGTTGACATCAAAGAAATTAGGTACAGGAGAGTCACAATGTTGGGTTTCATCGAAGGAAGAAGGAAGTGTCTGAAATTGTATGGGTGGGGGCATGGTATCTGGCAAAGGAGGAGGAGATGGCTGGCTAACTACAATATCAGTGTTAAACTCAGCACGGAAGACACCATTTGCACACATCTGGGGCTCATCTACCAATTTACCATATTGCACTGTTTTGGGTCGGATCCACTCTGACGGCAACTCGGGATCTCCCTGCGGAAGCACTGCCACCAGGGCTTCTATAAGTTTTTTTCTTTCATAAGGTCTTGACGTATCCAGCGCTCTCGGGGATGGCATAGATTTATCAGGAATCGTTGTTCTTCTGGTCATCTCTCGCACAGCATACAGTCTACGTGGTGGTGATGTTTTCACTTGAGCAGTGTTAGTTTCATACTGAGGAAGATGCTCAACTAACTCTTCAATTAATCTAATTTTATCAAGGTCAGCGGTCTTCTCCATCTGTAATGTCGCTGATTGCATAAAATACCCTGGTTTCGAATCTACATCTACTAAGCCTTTACTGGTACACAACATCAGCCTATCAGCAATGTTGTCTAATTTCAACTCTGGTAAAACCGATTTAGGGTATTCTACAGTCGTCTTTGGTATTTGTGCATTGTATGGAAGTGTCTCTAAAAACTCTAGTAAGGTAGTTTGTTTGTTTTCTGGCGTGTACACTCTAGATTGCAAAGCCGTACCGCCAAGATATCGCAAAGCGTCTGTCTGCGTAGATTTGCTGTTACGTTTTGTGTAGATACCAGAGAGAATATCGCCGTTCTGAAATGAAGCATAGTGAAATGGTACATTATGAGGTGAAATGTGATGATAGCAAAGATAAGCAGCATTGTTATGAAAAGGCTGCAAGTGAAGACGAGAACATTCGCTCTTAACATTTGATTTGAACTCTAGACAAAAATAACTTTGCCTCTAGATTTTTTTAGAAGATGTCTTAACAATATGTTCTGTTAATTTGAGCCAAAAATAATGAAAATATTGTTGAGAAAAAAGGAAAAAATTAAAGACAAGTGCAAAGATTTTGGTCGGAACAGTGAAAGCACAAGATGATGGCCACAAACACCTACATAGTATTTTGAGAGATGCAGAAAAGTAAAAAATATTTTTTTTTTCTAAGTGATCACTATCACCTGAAAATAGAACGATAAATAAATACAATAAAAAAATGTTTTTATAAACTTGATTAAAAAATTATTTTCAAAAATTGGTAAACTATAGACATTTCTCATTAAAAAAAATCAGAAATACCCCAAAAAAAACTCAAAAATAAAACATTGCAACATTTTCTCATCTCCCAAATTCATTTACAGTTGAAATAATTGGAGTCGAAGTTTGACAAATGTTTTTTAAAGTTCATGAAACAGCTAGTGATTGAAGCAGGTTTGCAGATACAGTATTGAAGATTATTTCTAGAATGCTGATATTTGTTTGACAATGGGAGTGAAGGGTAGAAAGCTAGATGAAACAAAAAAACACTGAAAAGTTGTATTGAGAACTGTAGCAATGAACAACCTATGAAATGTATTGATTTCTCGGGACACTGATTTCACTGTACATATTGGTATCTTGCAGAAAACGATAGGTGTATGAACTTCTTACACACAAACGTAACAGAAGTTTGTGTATCTAGGAACTGCGACTATGTGTAACCTACACGATTAGCGTAAACTAAACGTCACTATCAGGTCAGATCATCACTATGATTTGATACCCTCTCTCATTCTAACCTACCCACCCCTATATTATTTATGGTTTGCTCCGTGCTAAGAACAGAAAATCATACCTAGTTTAACTCATACCAGCATAGCATTTATCGTTTTTTTTTATTTTTATCCCGACTTCCAACTTTATGTATTAACATAAACATGTATTAGCTATTGTCTGTACTATGTGTATTACATGGTGTTTAACATATTGCTTGTTGAAAGCCGCCATGGACAAAAAGAATGTGAAAACACAGTATCCGCAGGCAAGTGTGAAAAAAAAAAAAAAAAGAGGTTTACTGAGGTGAGGCAAAACTAATATTCCCAGTATTAATGTCAAAAGATACAAATTGCTTACTGAGATTCTCCATGGACAAAAAGAATGTGAAAACACAGTATCAGCAGGCGAGTATAAAAAAAGAAGTTTACTAAAGTGAGGCAAAACTAATATTCCCAGTATTAAATCCAAAAATACAAGCATGTCCAATATCATTGAATAAATTATTTTAGTGATGGGACACACTTGTATCGTACCCCATCACAAATAAACACACCAGCACATAAATGGGCATGTTGAATTGTTACTATAAAATAAACGGAGCCAAACATCTGAATTTATCATGTCAACATTATACATTCAATTCAAACATTTTATCATCTACATTAAACATAGAGTATCTTTCCTGTGAAAATAAAAAAAAAAAATTTTTTTGTGTAGCATGAATACTGAAATGACATCAAAGTATATTTGCATATTGAACACTCAATACACATTACATGTAACAGTAGAATTCAAACGCAGATCAATCATTAATGTGCTTATCAAAATTGTGAACGAGACGAGACAAAACCGGTGAAACAAAGAACTCATGAAAACTTGCATTGATATTTCAAAATCTGAAATGAGACAAAATTATTTCCATACCTATAACCAACAGCACTGAGAAAACTTTCTACTTTCCAGTGAATAGCAAAAGTATAACTCCCTTCACCGTACACAGAGACACAGATAACTTGACAGTTACTGGGACGCCAGCTGACTAGTATAATTTTTACACACGTACACACAAATACAGCAACGATGAGTGCCTGGATCAGACTTTTAAATTTTAAATACAACACCATCTGTTACTAAACTTTTACAGTCAATCTTTGTAGGTTTTTTTCATTAGAAGTGCGAACATGTTGCAAATGATTAAAAATCAATTTGAAATACTGTATCCATAAATGTTGACGGGTAAATGGTTTACTGAAATTTAAATTTGCTGCATAATGAAAAAACAAACATCTGATGAACACTTTATGCTGAACGGCTACATTATCCTTGGTGGTGAAAAGCTGTTGTATTTACCGTACATGGAGTGACCAGAATAATAATCACAACATTTTGGAACATTGTACAACCGAATAAATTGTACCGCAAAACCCTTACCATCATGTTTTACAAATTGAATTCTACTAGTTGACATTATTTCTAATAATCATAACATATTCAAAAACAATAATTCTGTTAGAAATGAAAAAAAAAAAATACCAAACCTAAAATAATTATGTTATCAGACAACAGCAGGAACTACCATAATATGGTTTAACTAACAATATCAAGCCAATATTAATTATTATGTAATATCTGATGTCATTTTAATAATATGTTAATTGGTTAATTTAAAGCAAAACAAAACTATTATTGGAATTTGTATGACTGTCAGTATCTAGGATACATTATAAAGAGGGAGATCGCCCTCCAGCCGTGCCATTTCTAGCGTAATGAACAACACTTCCTGGAATATACTTAAAATCCTAGGGATAAAACCAACTAAATATTGCATTATTTGCCACCTATCTCAGTTCTATGGAGTGTGGGTGCCCATGAGGCCAGAGAAGACTAATTAATTAATTAATTAATTAGTTTGCAATATTGTTTTACCAGTACATAATAAACACTGAAATCTAGCGCATAGTAATATATAATATACATGTATCACACTGATAAATACAACAGCGATTAAATATTGGATATGGATGGAGCTAAATGAAATAATTCAGACCAATTCTAATCCCTCTGTACCCCCTCTACTAGATAATAATGCATGCAGCCTACATTGTATATAATATACTACTGGTATAGTGGGTGTGGCATATCGCAGTACAATTGATCAACATTGTCCTCAATGTAAAAATAATCACAAATTTTACAAAAAACTATATGTTTTTCTTGGATCTGGACTTATAGCAAAACCCCACCCCCCAGAATACCTAAAATAAACCAAATGTTACATTGTCAGCCTCTGATAAGACAAATATGAATTCAACAGTTGGTTAGCATCATATTCCAAACAATATAACAGTATATAAGCACTGAAAGACTAGGCACAATACCATAACATCCTAATCAATACAATAGTATAATTCAGACTAATTGTAATCTATATGTACCCCCCTCTACCAGACAACAATGGAAACAGATGACTCCTTAAATACATATACCAGGTACTACTAGTTCAGTGGGTGTGGCAATTCTAACCTGTATCACGTATGATACAAAAATGTGCTCAATACACAATATGGCATGTCAATGTTGGAACTATCATGCAATTCAGAAAGTCCCTCCATAGACTGTTATCAAATCAAACGACATACCAACATTCCATCAATACATATACCATATTTGTATTATTAGTAGCGCATGCGTAAAAATACAGTGTTTCTATGGTTAAAATTAGTCATATTTTGATGATTCTGTATACAATAAATGCAATTTTTGGTTTTTATGCGCTATTGGAGATACGCTTCTAATAGCACAAATACAGTATACAAACTACATATCATATGGCAATGTATTAGGTATTCAAAACCAAAGAAGCTATAAAATGGAATAACAGGAATGCCTAACAAAACCACATAAGCGAGGAGATTCCAAAAAACACATAGAATTTGCATATAATGGTAATAACGTATAGTACTTTATAAATTAATATTACCGGGAAAATGAGGTCAATGACAAATATATACGGTTAAGAAAAATATTCATGTGCACATTTATATCCGTGACCAAAGATCAATTCTTCGGTTTTACATTTTAAACCATATTATTAATTTAGTATCCATGGTAATAAATGTTACACATATTAATTCGTACTACCTTAGGTATACCACAAGTCTCATTTGAAAAAAACGACCTTTCTCCGAATATAGCTTGCAATTAACTAAACATCGCTATAGTCCACCGAGATGCGGCCGTTCAGGGTGAACGCCGAACACATTGTACTGTACTGAGTAATACTAAGCTGTGTGTACATGTCACCATGTGGTCATCTCCACAGCTGCTGCTTTAGCTAACATCCACACACAATGGATGATGGTATAACAATGAGTGCACGCTTCATCCATCACAACTACAATAAGCTCATTTGAATAACAGTTACTAAATTAGAATACATTATTATAAGGGTCGGTACTGTACTACGCTCAGTATTAAATAATATAATATGTTAATTAGGAAAGCATGTGTCTAGTAGAAATTTGCATAATTATTAAATGTTTAGCTTTCAGAATATTACATGATTATACATGTGCGAACATCAATATTTTTTTTGTATAAATGAAAAATTATATTTAATATCAAAAATAATGAATACATATGCACTATCGGTAAATATATTATTGTACTACTTGTGATATAGATGAACACCGAGAGAAGCTCACTACAATGTGCAATCACCAGAAAATGTAATAACAAACATGATTATATAAACCATACCGGCTAATTAAAACAAAAATATATAATGGAATTAGCATTTACCGAGATAACCAAAACAAAATGAATAAATTGTAAGGTATTTATAGAGTGCCATCAGATGGACCAGTTTATTAAGTTAATCCATTTCCAATTTTAGAGATTATAATTTTTTTGTTTTATTAATAACCATTATTTCAGCAATTTCAGTCACAAAATACTTAGTAATATTTAGGTGACATTTAACCTTGTGTTTATTATGGGAAAGAGAATCCCATCAATCAATATTCCCTGTTTGTAACAGGTATTTTTATATCAATATTTTACTTTAAAGGGTAACAGTCAAATTGAGTGGAAATAAATTAAGCATTTCACTGACGACAATAAATACGGTAGTATTTGTACCGTATGTGGCAGTATTGATTCAGCCCAAAGGGTTTTCTGGAATTTCTGTGATGGTATACAAGATCAAAGTATGGAAATATCTGTATATAAGGTAAATTACATGTAACTACAAATTTAGCTATGCGTATGTACAGCAGCTATTGGGGATGAATTGATTGGACGAAATTCCCTAATCCGTGACAGCCATAGTATAAGTAATTTACATCACGGTACAGCTTGCAATACTCACTTTGGATTCATGGTGTATATGGCATAACTATCATGTGACCAAATGTTTTGTAAATACATCATAGAGAACTCTATACTAAGCATGCTGGAAAAGATGACCATAAGTCTGACACTAATGTTCTCTGATATTTATGTAAAAAATAAAATTCTTTCTGCATTATGTTTCAAATTATAAAAACTTGAATAGCCAGAAATGTAATGGATATACAAGGTAAAATAAAAAAATTATTGTTTCCATGGCAACTTACAAGGCTGCCCCATTTTTTTTTATTTGCATTTGTGTCTTCATGTCAAATAATGCTCATCAAAAAGTGAAAGTTTTGCAAAGATGTTAATGTTTTCAAAACATATTCCTATTAATCAGATTTAATCCATTGCAAAATCCAGTTAGAACAAAAAAACTCACTTCATGAATTTTATACATTACAAAACAAAAACATTTTAATCCTCAAGAGTACAACCTAAAAAACAGGTTTTTTTCAGATTCAAGAAATCACCACAAGACAGGATACTTGTGTATACATTATATTTATATTAAAGCATGATGGTCATACTAAAGCACATATTCAAGTTCAATGTAAACAATGTATCTTATACCGATGTATACGTTGCCATGGGACCATATCCTATATTGAATTTGACGCCATGTGTCACGATGACAACTGTCCTTTCAGTATGGACATATACAAATTTGTCTATACAATATTCAAACCATGAATATTCCATTTGCATCATAAACTTTTTTTTTTTTAAATTTAGATTATTCAATTCAAAATAGGCATCAGACACATTTAAAATGCTACGGAGAAATCAGACTTGTCACCATAGTAACAAGTTTTAGGTATCCACCTCATCATACTTGCTTTTTGTCATGTGCTCAACTCAGCCTCAAGAAAATATAAACACATGACAAGGTTTCCTCCTACATGTGCAGTTGGTCACATACAAGCAAAACTTACCTCAAGTGATTCTTTAAGTTCATTGAGTTCTTTCTTAACCGCTGAGTGAATATTTCTAAGATCCGCTCCCTGTCTCTGTGCGGTCTTCAGATGTATCTGTGACTCATCAAATTTATCTTGCAGTTCTTTGTTTATCTGAAGTGGAAGGTGTTTAGTTCAGACTCCATGCTTTATTAGTAAGGGAGTATGGGGAATTCTAAAAACTGCAAACCACTTTATTTTGTGAGAATTTGTTTTACTAATTTTGTGAGATTTAAAAAAAAAAAAATTTTTGTAGCAGTGAACATTTCTCTGGTGTTTAACGATAAATTGAGAAATTTTGGCTTTACGAATGACATCAAATCGTTAAAATTCCTCACATGGAAATTAAGCGTTTACAGTGTATATGTGCAAACTAACATAGCCATTGTTAATACTGTAAAAATTAAAGCGCGGTGGTCGTCGCGCAGCGCATGTTCGAATTTCATGTAAATATACAATGTATTTTACATGCGTTGTATACGTCTCTATGAGTCCCATAACGAGCAGGACGCGGCACGACAACTGCCACCCTTTAAACTATATATTTTATGACTAGAAACTACTGCAACCATCTTTTATTAATCTATTTTCAATACCACATGGTTTTGTACAGTTCAGCTTCTAGTAGCAGTTTTAGTGCAGCACCAAGCCTGTCTACAACTCAGGTACAGACTGATAAAGTGATAATACACCTCCAGCTGCCAGGCTATGTATCAGGCTTAGAGCTTTCTTTTTAATTTGAAAAATTATTAAGTTGAATGTTAGGTGAAGGCATGTCAGGCAGAACAAATAGGGATAACACAGAAACAATGAAACAGACAGGCATACACTAAATAACCTAAACATAGAGAAACTATCTTTGCCTTGCCCTAGATGCATCAGATGAATGTAGTTGGGTTTCCTTTTATTATGCTTTTGATCTTTATTTTATGATGGGTTAATAGTTTTTACAAATTTATTGTGACCACAAGGAAAAGATGAATAATATGGCCAACAAAAATGCCATTTACAGACATCTGCACCACCAATAAGAGTGACAATTGAATGGTAAGTGACAACTACTGATAAAACAGCAAAAAGGTAATGCTAGACCTGCTTTTTAAATATTTGTGTATTTTTTTTAGAAAAAATATGAAAACAAATTTACTCAGGTTTATTTGGTGAACAATGACAAAAACTGACTCTGGTGTCCAAAGGATTAACAAATATTTATATCTTACCTCATTCTTCTCATCCAACTGTAATCGAAGATTGAGAATTTCTTTGTCTGCATCGCAATAATCCTTCTGCTCTTCCATCTTCTTCAATTTATCCTGTAGTTTAGCTTCTGTTTTTTCCAGATCTTCAACACTCTGTTCCGTCATCTCCAGTAATCCAGTCTGTGCTTTCATACGTTTGTATTCTTCGAGCGGTAACGTTATCATCTGTCCAGTTGCCAAATCATCTTCCAGGTTTTCCAGCTGTCTTTTCAATGATGCTTTAGCTCTTTCAAGCTGATCAATCTTTGTATGAGATTCTTGTAATTCATCCTGAGTGTCTGACAATTCTTTTTCAAGCTTAGATGCCTGAGCACACTGTACAGGAAATAAACAATAAACAGGAATACTGTAAATTCTTTAATTATTCACTAGTGAATTATTTGCTAAATTAAATTTACCTGAATATGTAAAACAACAGAGCCCATTGTTTCCCTGCTAAGTTCATGAACCCAGTGAAATTGCATCATCATAATAGGGAAAATAAATAGTTTTACAGTATCAGTCTTTGCCTTGTAAGTTAAAATTGAAGCCACATGACTTGGCACAGAAAATCTAATAGAGTAGTATAGATATTTAGTGTGGCCACTACATCAGTACTAAAGGGACCTTGGCATTTGGCTTGTTGAGATTTATTTTCAATTTAGTCTAAATGTATCATAATATCAATCATTTTTGAGTGTTCTTCATTCTTAAGTACTTGTGTAATACAACATAGAATTGGTCAGATTTGAATAATTTACACTCACTCTTGTCTCCATTGTTGCTGCACTAGTTTCCATCTCTTTAACCTTCTCTCTGAGAACATTCAGCTGTTTCTCTAACGCAACAACTTTCTCTTTCAATTTCTTTTCATTCATCTGTAGCTCTCCAGTCTTCTTCTGCAGATCACTCTCTGACTTTTTTACATCATCCATTTTATCAGTAAGCAGATCTTTCTCAAGTTTCAGTTGATCATTGTCCATTTTTAACATCCTCTCAGCACTCTCAAGTTCTCGTACCTGGTGTTTGAAATTAAGCTCTTGATTTTCTAATTCAGAAACTTGGTCTTTTAAAGCACATTCCGATTTCTCTAACATCTTCAATTTCTGTTGTAAGCTATTCCCAGATGTTTCAAGTTCTTTCTCTCTTAGTTGGGATCTGTCTATTGCCTCTTCCAGCTGTTTTAATTTCCTCTCTAAAGCTTTGTTTGTTTGTTTCAAAGTATTTTCAGTTTTATCAAACATTTCTTCTGCAGTGTTCAATTCCTTCTGAAGAGCTTCTTCAGTCTTCTTAGAACTCTCTAACTTTTTCTTTAAGGTTTGTTCCACTTTTTCTAAAGCAATTACTTTATCTTGAAGCTCTTCGTAGTCCTCATCATACCTTTTTTTTGACTGGCCCTTCTCTTTCTCAATATCTTTCAATCTATTTCTCAGCTTAGATTCCTCTTCCTTTAGATAGCTGAAATCATCCTCTAAAGCTGTGTGTAGTTTCTTTATACTCTTTTCACTATTCTCACTTCTTTTTAAGTCATGTCTCAATTTATCTGCAACATCTTCAAGCTGCTGTACTTGCTCGTTAAGTTCTTCTATTTCTTTCTTGGTTTTTGTATCTTTTGCCTGTTCCAAGGACAGAACTGCAGCCTTCAGTGTTTCTTCAGACTTTTCTAACCTCTCAACCTTTTTGACAAGTTCTGTTTCTCTTCTCTCTGACCTTGATAGCTTCTCCTTAAGAGGGGATTGGGAATCACTTGCCATCATGATATCATTTTTAAGGTCCTTCTCTCGTTGCTCCAGCTGTTCAACCTTCTTCCGCAGACAGTTTGCAAGTTCTTTATGCTTAATCTCCTGTTTGCCAACAGTATCAATTTGCTCTGTCTGAAATTTAATTTGTGGTTGGATTCTCTCAATATCCCATGTTTTCTTCTTTACTTCCATGTCAAGGACATGGACTTGCTCTTTTAATTTCATTTCAGACATCTCTAAGTCCAGAATGCGACTTCTCATCTCGTCTTTCTCAACCTTCCTCTGCTGGTAAAGCTTATCAATATCAGCATTCTTTTCAGTAAGCTTTTGTTTCAATTTTCTTTCAGACCTTTCCAAATGTTCTACATCATCTTTAAGCATTTCTTCAGACATCTGTAATTCCTCGATTTGTTTCTGAATCTTTTCAAGTGACTTTTGTTCTTCCATCTTTTTCATATCACCCACTGACTCTGTTTCATGTAATCTATCTTTAAGCTCACTGCTAATTCTTTCTGATTCATCAGCCTTTTCTTGGGTATCCTCCAAGTCTCGCCTCAATTTACTGTTTTCTTCTTCAAGCTCATCAATTTGTTCTTTCAGATGGTTGTTCGATTCTTTCACCCTCTTGTTCTCAATTTCTGCACTCTCAAGGCGATCTTCCAATTCTGTCTTCACAGTCTCTGTCTCGTACAGTTTGTTTTGCAGTTCATTGTCAGAATACTCCAACTCTTTCACTCGATCTCTCAAATTCTTTTCATTAGATTTACTTTCAGTTTGGATGTCTTCTAGCTGCTGTGACAATAATTTCTGTGATTCCTTTTCAGCCTGTTCAGTGGTTTCCAGCTGCTTCTTCATTCGATTTAATTCATCTTTGTGAGCTTGTTCTCCAGATTCAAATTGCTCAATCTTTTCTTGAAGCCTTTTATTTGCTTTTTGGGTTTCTTTGTTGTGCTGTTCAGCATCCTCAATCTGACCACGCATCATAGCTTTCAAGTTCTCTAATGCATGAATTTGTCCCTGCATTTCACCTTGATCTTCTTCCAACTGCTCGATCCTTTCCTTCAGAGCTTCTTCATTTTCTCTATAGACAACTGTAGCTTCTTGAAGCATATCCTTAGCAGTCCTTTCAGCCTCAGCAAGTTGGGAGATTCTGTCTTTCAAATCACCTTCCAGCTCCTCAAGTTCATGTATTCTTTCTTGATATGCTAAGGTTGATGATTCTGCTGCCTGCTTCCAAGTATTCTCGGTTTCCTTTGTTTTCTGTTTTATCTCCTGCTTCAGATGACTTTCATTATCTTCAAGCTCTTGAATTCTCTGTTTTAATACTGTTTCTAATTCTTCTAACTCTGCCACTCTTTCATTTAACAAGTCTTCACTTTGACGCCACATTTCTGATGCTACTTCATTCTCACGGACTTTGGCTTCTAATTGTTCCCTTAGATCAATTTCAACAACTTCCATTTCCTGTAATCGCAACCTAGATTTATCTTCTGTATCTTCAAGGTCTTTTATTTTAACTTTCCAAGCCTTCTCATTTTCTATCCTGTCTTTAAGTGTTTCTTGGTAATTCTTCTTAGCACTTTCCTCTGATTCAGTAAGTTCAATGATTTTCGCTTTCAGTAATGACTCACATTCCTGCAATTCAGCAATTCTCTCCTGCAGAGAATAAGTTGCAATTTCCCTTTCAGAAGCTTTAACTTTGATCTCTTCCTGTTTCTCTACCTCTTTCTTCAATGTAACCTCCTGCTGTTGCAATGCTTGCACTTTCTCATTTAGAGTTTTTATGACAACTTCAGACTCAGACAGTTGGTCTTTTAAATGATGTTCTTTTTCATTCCACATTTTCTGGTCCTCTTCATAACTTTTCTGTGATTTGAAAAGTGCATCTGAATTCTGTGAAAGTTTACTCCTGATATCCCTTTCAGAGTTTTCAAGATCATCAACCTGTTCCTTCAATGTAGCTATCTCCATGGAGAGACTTTGCTTGAGATCTTCAAACTTATTTGAATCTTCAGCATTCTGGTTTTCCAAATCTTTGATCTTCCCTTGCAAATTTGATACCTCTGAGAGGTGTTCTTTCTTCAGTTCATCAATACATTCCAATTCCTCGGAAAGTTCTGCAAGTTTCTTTCTTAGTTCCTGGTTAGTCCTTTCTAAATCTTGGATCTGTTCTTGCAATGAAGTTAATTCTTCAAAATGGTCTTCCTTAAGATCTACTTCAATATCTTTCCTCCTCTGTACTTCCAGCTCTAGTTCTTTAATTTCCTTCATCAAAGCTTCATTATTACTACTATCAAGCTGTGCACTTTCCAGTTCCGACAATTTATCCCTCAAGTCTTTATCTGAATTTTCCAATTGTAAAACCTTCTCCTGTAATTCTTTTTCTGATTTTTCAACTTCATCAAGCTTCTCCCTTAGGTCCTCAGATGTTTTCTCTTGCCCATCCAAAGCTGCTTTTACCGTTTTTCCACTTTCCTCCAATTCCACGATCCGTTCTCTAGATGTTTTCTCTGAATCTTCTAACTCATTAATAATTTTCTTCAAAACAGTTTCTTGGATGTCCTGCTCTTCTATCCTGTTTTCTGCTTCTTCAAGCTTTTGTGTTAGTTCATCGTTCTCCTTTGTTAAGACTTTAACCTTTTCTTCTCCAGCAGCAGCTATTACAGATTCCAGTCTTTGTTCTTGGTTAACTAGTCGTACATTACTTTCTTTCAAATCAGCAGCTAATGTTTCTTTTTCTGTAATAACATTATTAAGCTGCTCTGAGAGGTTGCTCTCAGAAGCTGTCAAGTTATCTATTCTTTCATTTGTTTTCTTCAGCTCTTCTCTAGCCTCTAAAAGTTTAACTTCAATTTCTTCCTTTTCTGATGACATCTCAAGCATTTCTTCCTTCATCTGTGCCTCAGAGACTTGCAAATCATTGTTGAGTTTGTTTACTTCTGCATTCCTTTCTTCTACTTCTTGTAATTTCTGGTTTGCGACTTCTAATTGCCTTGTCAAAAGCGCACTTTCTTCTTCCAACTTCTCTTTGGTTGTCTCAATTTCACCAATTTTCATTTTAAGCATAGATACTTCATTCTCATGCTCTTTAATGACTTTTTCACTTTCCTCATCTTTCAGATTTGCATCCCTTAATTGTGCCACAAGTTCAGCTTTTTCTGAGGTCAATTCAACAATTTTATTATTCAGTTCTTCTTCAGAAACCTGCAAATCTTTGACAATATTCTTCAATACATTCTCACTTGCTTGTAACTCGTAAACCCTATCTGCATATGACTGCTCCTTCTGCGAATCCATATTCAGTAGAAGATTTTGCGGCATGCTAACATTCTCTACTGTTACACGCTCTATAGGTTGTTCTACAGAAGATTGGACTTGAGCCTCTGAGGTGACATCTAATGATGGTGATTGATCTATTTTTTCATCAGTTTCAAGCTCCTGTAATTTCTCCAGAGCGTCCTGGTACATTTTGAGAAGATTCTCTTTTTCTGATGTAGTCTTGGAAAGAGCCTCTTTCAAAGAGGTTTGTGATGTCCTCAGATCATTAATGGTTTGTTCCTGTGTCTCTGACACCTCTATTTCACTGTGCATAGGTTCAGAATCTCCATTCATTAATTTTGATTTAAGCTTTTCATTTTCCTCTTTTAAATCAAACAAATCTGCTTCTAAAACCTTTTCCGAGCTTTCTAGTTCCCAAATCCTGTCTTTCATCTTCAAAACGTCTCCATTTTCTTTATCATCATCAGTTTTATCTCCTGGCAGTGATTTTAAATTTGGGTTTTCAATCTCTAACAATTGTAATTTGTCTTTTAGAACATCATTTTCCACTTTAATTTGGTTGATCTGTCCCTTAAGTTCTTTTTCGGCAAGTTCATATGAGTTAAGTTGGTTGGATAATTTCTCATTCTCAGATTTTAATTGCTTCAGTTCAGTATCCAGATTCTGGTTTATTGCATCACTGTCAAACTTCTGTTTTGAAGAAGTTTCAGAGCTTTCTAGAATCTTGATTTTTAGACACAATTCCTGGATTTGCTCTCCCTTCTTAGAGTCCTCAGATATGCTTGCATCAAGTTGTTCTTTCAGCTGAACCTCTGCTTGTTCTGCTTTTCTTGAGATTTCTTTCAATGTATGCTCTCTGATTTCATATTCCTCAACTTTTTCATTGTATGATGATTCATGATGTTGAATATTTTCTTGCAATTCCACAATCTCACGTTCAAGTGCTTCAATATGCTTCCTGAGAACAAGTTCCGTTTGCTCCATTTCTGCAATTTTCTGTAATAACAACAATAATGATATTATTAATATGTGTTCTGACTTAATATGGGATTTCTAATAATATATCTGACAAGAAAGCATTAAAGCGATGAAGATGGTTATAAGAAAGAATTTGTTGATGTCTAGTCATTTGTTAAACATAATTCATGTTACTCGGAATAGAACTGCTTTCACAAATCTACATAATTTATACATTACTTCAATCACTAAATGCTTGGGACACAAGCTCAAATTAAGGATCATTATAAGGAAAACGTTATATTGTCATTACTATAACGCAAAACACTGTTAGAAATCAATCACTATCAATTACAATGTTGATTTCCGCGAACAGTTTGTAAAACTAAAAAAATAATAAATTAAACAAATGAGCTAATTAATATGCAGTCCACAAATTGGCTTTGAAAATATAACTGATATATTAGTGATCTTGTTTTGAAGTAATTAATTTTGAAATGCACACTACAAAGACATTATTCACTTTGATTACACTTTTCCAATAGTACAACTCCAAAAGAGTGCATGTAAACCATGGTGCATGTATATGTATATACTGGATCATTAAAAATGCAACACATTTTGATCATAGACATACCTCGCCACTTACATAAAGTGCATGCACCACTAATAGAACAAATACAGTGTCTGTTAGAATTAATTGACAAAATTAATTCTGGCAAAGCTTGATTAAATGATTAAATTCTACCAAATAAAATAGAAGTTGTGATACTTTGAAAGCAGTTTTTTTTAAAAAAGACACAAAAACACATCACAGTGGCATATGTATTGCTACCAGTACTAAATTACCAAGCTATTGGGTTTAGGATTGAGTATAATTTGCACTGGCTGAGCAGATACTAGCTGTCCAACAAAATAAAGACCAAAGACCACAAAAAAGAAAAAAAAACCAACAAGGATGAGACACTTAAAAGCGATTTTACCTGTTCTACTGTACTAAGAATTCGATTTGACCTATCTTTTAGAAAAACTGTCAAAAGTACTGCAGGTGACGAACCATACCGTCGTATTTACTAAAACCGCTTCAGACCCACATACCTAACCCGGTGTTTTGATACTATATACATGTCAATAGAACAGAAGATCCTTTAACAATAGCTGCCAGCTAAACAATAGAAAACAACTGACATTTGGCTTTCAGTTAAGAAATCACATTCCAACGACCAAAAAAGAAAAAACTGCACAGGTTGAAATTTGGCAAAATTCCAAAAGGATTTAGAAACTTGGTATCATACTTTAGTAGAGTTAGGTTTTGAGTACTTATGTAATTATATACAGGGGCTGTTCAGGGGAGTTGACTGAGTAAACAAAAGACTGCTGGCAAGAAAATAGAAGACAATAGACAGGTAGGATATTTATCGTCTCCTTAAAATATCATTGCCGTTTAAATGGCAAAGTACAATATGTATAGGTCACTGTCATTCAATTCAAACAATGCCACGAGCTTGACCATTTTCCAAGGTTTTTTAAGGAATTTGGAGGTAAAACAATTTGTCAATACAATTGTATTTTGTTTTTACAAACTTTAGACAAATATAAGGTGAATAGAGATGCCAGTGGGACATGAATATATGGCTCATTTAGCCACCTGAAGCCGAATTTCTGTTTTATTTGAATCAATTTTCATTTTAAAGGTATTAATATTTTTTAGACATTTACTGACAATTAATTGAATAATGTATCCTTTAAAACTTCCAATCTTGTCTCATTTTTTTTATATAATTGGCAATGATTTAATATGTTTAGGTTAAAATTTGAATTACATATTTGATTTGGAAGGGGTGAATTGTGACAATATTTGACAATGTCAACTGAAGACAAAAGTCCAAGTGTAAACCAAAGACATTTTCTCATAAGATTTTGCACATATTTGTGATTGTTTCTATAATTTCCTTGTTATTATTGGACCTAATTTCACATTACATTAGGTGTTAGCATATGTCAGTCCATTTTTTTATTTCAATTAATTAATTAATTAAAATATGAATAATATTCATATATAACAAATTTGCTCTATTGGTGGTGCATGCAATTTGAGGTTTATGTGCAAATTCTATTAGAGGTGCACTTCTAATAGAACAAATACAGTATTGTGTTTAATAAATAATATAATAATACAAATTAAAGTTCGGTCAGATTCCTGAATTCGACTGTCAGTGTTGTTGCCATGACCATGTATCCTAGTAACAGTTTAGTCACTTCAAGTTATGTCTTTCAGCTTGCAAGGTATATTCAAGTTAATTTATGAATTGAATAAATCCTAAAATAACCTCATTTGTAAAACTATCAATACAGGAGTCATAAAAGGTTGGTAAACTACATTAAATTACAGGTATTTATACAATGGAATTTCCATTAGGCTTAAATGCAACCAAACTATGCACACTCAATTATAATATTTATCTTATTTAAATGCATTAATAATTAACTGCATTTTAATTTTTTCTAGAAGTGAAATCTGCTAATTACAATAGATTACATTGTTCACTGGAAAATTCCTGCCCATGCTCAACAGTGAAATTAAATACCAGAGAAATTTAATGCTTTAAGCATATGTCGCCAGGTATATCTAAATATCTTGTTTCTTTTCTAATGTTTCAAGCATGTAAGGAGGAATCACCTTTATCCGTTTGTTAAAAGCAATAATGGCAAGCGCCTGATTTTCTAAATTCGTTACACAGGAAAAAAAGTTTGCTGCCAATTATTGGTTGGCCTATCCAAGCATATGGGATGTTATTTTTAAACTTTTGTACTGCAAATGCAGATTGATATATAATTTGTTTATATATTATATAATATATGAAGTTATAGAAACATTTAATCATTAAAGGGGAAGCTGTCAAACCAGGAGATTGCACCAGGGACTCATGGGACACTATGGTATCCTTAATGTTGTTTTCAATTGTCATCAAGTGTAGTACTTTTACTGTGTGATTAGGCTTAACAGGTTTCTATTAACACGAGTACCTATATTTGTTGGGGGGGGGGGTTTCTGATATGTAATTGGCATTTAAAGATGATTGTTATTGTACGTACTAAACCAACTGGTATACATGCATATTAGAGAATTTCATTGCTTCATCAAACGAATACTCATATGTGTGCTTACAGAAACATTTTCAATTCATGATAAATCAAAGTCCAATATTCATCAATATGCAGTGCCTAACAACAATATTAAAAATCACATTTTCTCCTCCATAATGCATCTTTAAAAATAAATGTGCACTGGGACAAATGATGGTAAAAATTCCATTTACCTGATGAGCAGCTTTAATTTCATCAACTTTAGCTTTCAGATGTTGAAGTTCTTCTAGAGTCATGACAGATTTCAGCTACAATGAAAAAGAATGTACGATTCAAACAAGATGTCCATGTGAACACAAATGCAAAGTAGTGATGAACACAAGAAAAATCTTTGACAGAGAACATTTTGAGTAAAAAAAAAAAATTTGGAGACTAATAACAATTTCTTGGGAAGGTGATTTCGAAATTTTACAGTGGAGGAGAAATTTTACGATAACACAATAAAAGTACCCATATGCAAAAACATGCAGCAATTGTTAACATTCCAATTAATATACTTAGGGAGTATATTACAAGTTACCAAAGTCATTGACTTCCAAGTTTCACTAAAAAACACAATTTAGTAACTCACAAAAAGCAGTTTAAATGACAAGCATTATGTGCAAAGAATATAGATTTTGTGAATCTCTGCTTCAATTTGTCCATGTACACGTGTTGTAACAAGTTATGACAAGATACAGATCCAGTATGTTTTCATTGTAAGATTACCACTTTAGTAGTTCATGTGCATATGATTACATGAGGTGAATGTAATCTATCCTGAGACATGTGGCAGATAAGGCATAAAATCTGTTCATGCAAAGCCTGAGACTTCCAGAATGGTAGAAATTCATGATTTGTTGTGTATTTTCAAAACCTAAACAGCCACCAGACAAACATCTTGAATCCAATGCATACTGTGAAATGCTTTATTTTTTTAGCTGGAATTAATTTTCGCTGAAAAGACATTTTAGGTGTATTGTATGGAATTTATTTTCACTGATTTTTGGCGAGTTGTACGTAAAACATAGGAAAAAGGGTATACTGTAAAATACTTTATTTTAGCTGGAATTAATTTTCGCTGAAAAGGCTTTTTGGGTGTTTTGTATAGAATTTATTTTCACTGATTTTTATTTTCACGGAATTATTCTTTTAGCAAAAATAGAATACTTTACAGTATGTGTGACATGATGCAAGCGTCAAGTTTTAATGCGATCAGGCCAATGCAAACATCTGGAAAAACAGACATACACACAGACTTAGGCAGAGGCCTATTCACATACCGTAGTTCATACCCACCATAGAATCCAGTCAGTAGAAATGACTATTTTGAACTTTAGGCATTACTCTGCGAATCATCCAATGACAGAGAGAGAAATCTAGGTCAGGGGAAGCCCCATGACCTCGAGATTTCCCCCTTACGTCATGAACCATGTGACCGAGGTAATAAAGCAGCGCCATATTAGCTACCAAGTCAGTCTTGTTCTTTTTTTCCGCACCGAGGACTAATGTGTACAGATTAATGCCTACAGTTCAAAATAGTCATTTTGACTGACCGGAGTCTATGGTGGGTAATTGAACAGAGTGAATTTCATTTGAATGAGAACTGATTTCTGTGTAAAACACATAAACGTTAAATTCAGACTGCAGCAATCTATCTGCAAAGCAGTCTTGAAGACAATAAAGATTTATTCATATCTCACCTCAATCTGTTTAGATTCAGCTCCCTCTTTAGCAGCCAAGGTGTCTTCTTTGACCAAACTATCCAACTTACTCTGTAAACTGGAATCTGATACCCTGTCTAGTTTCTCCTGTAATGCTGAGTTGGACTCTTCAAGAATAGCCACTTTCTGTTACAAATTTAATTAATTGCAAAGTTAAAAAAAAAATAATAGACATGAAATGCTTATTCTAACCATAAATAATTTACCAAAAAACACCATATAAAGCAGTTATTGCAGTTCTAATATTAATTTCTTAGTTATAGCTGTTACATGTTAAGTGTTACATGTTAAGGGTATGGTTATTACTTGTAACGTGCATTGTATGTGCTTTAAAATCATAGTTGTGTGAATGTGAAGACTACTGTATATGCACATATACCTCTCACTTCTCTCAGCACTTTATATCCAGGTGACAGAAAATCAAGTCTGCACACACAACTAATTATGTTGAACTGGAAACTTTTCTCACTTAAAACTAAATTATCACAATTATTACTAGGATTAACAGAACTAATTTATGGGATTTCATTAATGAATTAATCCAAACAAGTTTAACTCAGCCATGGAGTTTGGGAGGCCTGACTGTACATTCATCTGACCACACATTCTGACTACTACACAGATCAAGAGTAAAACTACATTTACATTCTTAGATGTACCACTGACACAAACACATTACTGAAATACATACATTTGTAAACTCACACCGATTATGTATAAAAACCTGAATTCAAAGCTCTGAACAAGTCAACCTTAGACTCAACAGATACCCAAAACAAGAATGAAATGTCCGCACACATTACATCTCACGTTCTTGATAACAGTTAATGTCTATTATTAAATCCATTCATTCATTGATTGTCAGTTTAATGGCTGCGTTCTATTGTCACAACTAAATTTAAGAGCCTTAGTTGTTATGACAATGGTAACTCTAATTTACATCTTTCATTTCTTTTATCTTGCTATTGTATTCGATAATTATAAACCCCTCGTCTGTTCTAGCATGAAACATGTAATTCCATCACTTTACTAAGTAGAAATTAATGTATGTTTTTAATCAAATCACCAGTTGATTTTCTTTCTTTCAAAATATGAATTTACATGTATACCTTACCATATACCCCAGCTGTTGATAATTCCCATCATTCAAATCAATGCATGCATACATAAACATGGTAAAAACATATGTAGGATAGACATAGGATAAGAGTTTTTATTCAAGGACTGAACAACTCAAAAATAATTGTACCGTATTTGCTCTATTGGAAGCACATCTCTAATGGAAGCACCGAAAACCAAAAATTGCATTTATTGTATACAGGATCATTAAAATACTTATTTTGAAATAGACATATATATGTCATTTATATAAGGGCAAGCATTATTAATAGAGAAATTATAGTACATCAGTATCTCATTGGATTGGATTTTAATAACATGCAATGATTATGAGTAGCGTGACAAGTCAATTTATTTCAGTGGTTCAGGCCTTGTATCAATACAGTCACTCAAAAACACAGTATTTATCCCCACAGACAAAACCACACTGCACAAAGACACATTTTACAAACACACAAACAATATTTATTTCACTGCCAAACATATATTCAGCTACATTTTTTCAGAACATTTTTTTTATAGTTTTATAATTTTTGTTCAAAATAAATTATTTTCGTTTACTGATAAACTATGTAATCAAATTACAACAATGATAAAATATGTCAATGGCAGTGAAATAAAATAAAAATAAATTTATAACTAAACTGGTAATTCTTTGACCAATCTCCATGCTTCTACCAATTGATTGTTTTTTCCAAACATTGCAAATAATAATATCAGTGATTTGAAAATATAAAGAGACAGAAATTGGAGAATCTGTCTGGTAAAGAGTTACCAAATTAGAAATCAGATTACATTAATGTGAGAAATTATTGGATTATGAAATTAACAAATATATCACCTGTGGTAGTAACTCAGTCTGCATGCCAAAAAAAAACAACATGAAATAATACGATGTTAGAATTATGCAAATATTAAAAGGTGGCAAAATGGCTGACATTTGAAATCTACATCTCAGTTAATGACAAATCAGGGCTGAAAATGTCCATAACATTTATGTTAATTTTGTACCAGTATGAATGCATTTTTATAGAATGAACTTCAGATATTACCAGTAATACAGATGAAACTGTGAAATGACTTTGATGGGTCTGGTATGTTTTTAACATTTTTTCCACATTAAATCTAAAACTGAACAATATTATGAAACATGCGAGGATCGATAAAAATGATAACTCTGTGCTTATTATAGCAAATGGAATTTTTTTTTTCAAAGCGATATCATTTTTTTTTTCAAGTTCAATATTTAAGAAGATGTTTGCCTTATCTTTGTAATTTGTGTGACCACTGAAACATGTTATCACAAAATCATTAAATGAAAATGTCATTCAAAATGGCTGCACTAGATGATACAAGAGCAACTGGCAGCAAAACAAATTTCGGAGAAAAAGGTTCAGAATGATTTTAGATATAAAATACATTTGTATTAAAGTTAGCTGAAAGGTACAAAGTGGTACAAAATCAACATAAACCTATGTCTTTGATTATCAAAGATATTTGGGGATTTGTAATGTAGTATTGATTATTATTATTAAGTAACAAATATTGAGCAAGCATGTGATTTTAGTTTTAGTTTGGTGCAACATAACCGCTCTCAACATAAATATTAATATAAAAACATACAAGATTGAAACATGGTCACATTGATAACATAATATAACATGATACTGTAGAGCTATTAATTATTTACTGGTTTTTATTTTACTATTTTCGTTGATGAAAATTCGCTAAAATAAATCTACGTGAACATGTAGAATAACAATAGAACTCATTGTTTCCCTGTCACGTTCGTAAACTTAAAACCCAAAATCAAAATAGTAAAATCAAATTCCAGTGAAAATAAATGGTTTTACAGCATGTTTGAATGGGTTCAATACATCACTGATACCATATGAAGATATAATTGATTTTGCTGGGTGAATCATCAAAACATGGTCTTTTACATGTTCACTTGTGTGTGATCACATGCTCTAGTTGCATTATTACCATAAATAATATTTACTTTTTGGAAAGAACATTGACAAAGAACAAAATTAAATAGTTATTGATCTTGATACATTGAAAACAGCTTAAATTTCATTTTGTAGGACTGAATATTTTGTGGGTTACAATCGTCCTCTTAAACCTTCTTAATTCTTAAATAACAACAATTATTTTAATACACTATACCTGTTTCTCGTCCCTGACTTCAGCTATTTTTTGGAAGAGAAGTTCATTTTCATAATCCCGCCCCTCTTTATCGGATGACATCTGTTTCTTTAAAAGTTTGATTTCATCTTTGAGTTTACTTTCATTTTTGAGGTACACATCCTCCATAGCATGAAACTTGGATTCAGATTTTTTTCTATCTTCAATTATTTCTTCAAGTTCATCAATTTTCTACAAAAAAGATAAAATAACAAAATAGTCCATGTGTCCTTCACACATCAAGAAATAGAATAATAATTTATTGTCTTTATCCCTTTGAATACCACAAATTTTCCAAACAACATTTTTACACACATTGCATTTTCTTTTTTGGGACATAATTTCCTGTTGACTACAGTACTGGCTTTATTAAAAGCGAATGAAAATCCAAAATTGTATGTGTTGTATGCTGAATCATTAAAATATGACTTATTTTCCCCCATAGAAAAACTTTGATGAGCATAAATAGAGCAAATATTGAGCAAAATATTTAAAATTGTTTATTTTTTGAAAGGTAACAAAAGTTGACTTTGGCATTCAAAAAGAGTGAATGTGCAAGATTTATGTTGATAAACAGTGATTTTCCCACAACTCAATAAACTCTCTCGATTTGAATGCAAATTCGGATCTGCTTGCGCTGTGTACTAAAGACAGACTTTGGCACGTTAGAGTCATTCAATGTGTCAAAATCATCCTAGCAACCTAGATTTTGTTTTGTATGCGTTGAGATGCACAACAATAAAAGTCATCATGTTTGGTAATATCTCGCATGTACGACACAATGCCCATTTCCCCATAACCTTTCCACCACCAGTTCCCTCTTTTTATCACAGATTCACAAAACAGTCTTATTTATAGTCTGCATTTTCCTTCAGAACACTGGGAAAAAAAATAGTTTTTTTTTAGTAAAAACTGAAAATTGACTTAAATATTGTCTGTTGGCTCCAAATTAGGCGATATTTCCAGAAGCATTGAAGAATACAATAAAAAAGTGCAGAATAATGTGGATGAGAAGGGTTGGTGGTGATCAGGTTAATAGGTGTATCACAATTAAGAGATACAAATACCAACCTTATTGCAGTCATCTAAGACGTTTAGATTGCTTCTAAGTTCCACTTCAGTACTACTAACTTTAGCAGCAAGTCTGTCTTTCTCATGCTCCAAATCCATAACTTTCCTTTTTAAGCTAGTTTCGCTACTAGTCATCTTCTTGAGTTTCTAAAATATGAAATGAAGAAACATTAGATTGTGTAAGGCATCTTTTCCTCCGGGCATAAATATCAATATTCAAGCCATAATATTTTTATTACATCCTACTCACAGGATGTATGTATTAAAATTTACCATCGCATTGCATCCAACAGAATACCATTCTTGCAAATCCACCATGTGATTTATAGTCTGAGCTTAATGAATTCTAATATAAGCTGTCTCGTCGATTAAAGGATTATTGATCAGCCAACACTCTGATGTGAGGCGAAAGATTATTGATTAGACAAACACTCAATTTGAGGTGAACATGGCTAACCACTATACCATGCAAAACAATGTAACGAGGCAGTCAAATATACGCGGGATATTTCATGTCAAAAACATATACTAAATTAGCATGAAAATTAAGAGCATGTAATAAGAGTCAAATGTTTTGAAAAGTTTAATTTATTCATTTCACATATTCACATATTCACAGCATGCTGCTCGGATTAACATATAAATTCACACTTGTTATCATAATAAATATGTTTGCAATACAAATATTATTTTATATGTTCATAGCTCTATTTTTCTTTCAATTTTTTTTTCTTTCTTTGGATTTTTTTATTTTTATTTTTTATATAATCAGATATCTTATCAACAATATTATAAACAGTGTCACATGTGCTTTGGAAATAAAACCAAATGATGCGAGACAGGCTGTGAATATACATGATATTTAATTATCTGCGAATTATAAATATGAATGCAAAACAGTAGTTAGTAAAGGTGGGTTTCAGATGTACAAGAAGTTTTAAATTTTGGGGAAAAAATTGTATTTTGAAGTCATGGTCTAGCATTGATCAGGTGATCAGAGTCTAGCCAAGATCAGGTGATCAGAGTCCAGCCATGATCAGGTGATCAGTCTAGCCATGTTGTACTTACCAGGTCTGCAATGTCCAGCATTGCTCGTGCCTGTAACAAGGACTTTTTATCCTCTACTGACAATCTATCATCATCCTATCAAAACAAAAATAAATATATTTATGATTGTATTTAAAAAAAATGAAACAAATTTGTGTATATTTAATTCCTACAAAATGGGGTATTACAACTATTAGTTTTAACAAATTATATTTTGATTGTACTTTTAATCACAAATGAATTATCAACATTTTATTATTATATGAAAATAAAAAATAATTTCTGTTTACAGCATACATATATACATATTATTCATGATCTTTAATTTAGACAAATCTTTCAATAACATTTTTTATGCAAACCTAAAATCAACATAATTTCTGCCTTGAAAAAATATTTTAGATCGTCAAATCATCAAAAAATAGATGGTTTTGATTTCTATATATGTACATTCATTCAGTAATTTCACAGAACTATAGTACATCATGCATAATTAATACAGCAATACGTTGGCCAGTCACACCACACAGGTCATTTTCTGTCAACTGTACACATTTTATGTCTATTTATATTTTACATAATGTTTTTCACACTACATAATCAAGCACGCAATTGAAGCCTATGATCAATCAATACTCCATATTTTCATACCCAAACTATAATAGTCTTACCACGATAAGTAAATTGTTGTTCATGTCGTATAAAAAAAAATGGTAAATATCCCGGTGTTTATGTTGATAAATCCAATAAGTACGCCAGTGTTTACAGAGATCCACCATTTACTATTTTTGCTAATCCACAATAAATGCTAATGACTCTATTGTGTCAAATTGTTACAACATGTTACCTCATATTTACGCTCTCTTCTTAGCACAGCTGCGGGTTTGGGCTTCGGGAATTTCAACATTTTCAATCGAACCTTAAACACATACGTCTAATTTTACCAGCACACCATTTTAAAAACATGTCTTCCCATGACTAGCCTGTTCATCAGTTGTTTTCAATTCTACTGGTTGTATATGTGCTATTTATGGCCTCAATACAGGCACAATTGAGTCAATGGGATATAAAATTAGCTCGGACAACTTTAGCGCTACTAGTAATAATTACAATCCAATTAATTGCAAGCAAATCACACAATGCATAAATGCATGTTAATTCAGTAGTTTACCGATAATGGTTATTATGTTCTACTTAAATATAATAAGTTTAGAATTGTACTCTCTCGTAATTACCTGATCACACAATGCAGGGATTGTTTAGCTTAGAAATAGGAAAAAAAAAAAATCGAGAACTATTGATCACATATCTTGTGGAAAGTACCAGATTATACATCATATACCATAAACAGGTATTGCCACTGACAATTTTTGCAATTTGACATTCTGCCGGCAAACGTTGGCACGTCTATAGTCACAGGAACTACTGGGTATATACTTTTCTTAATGATCAACGTTGCCTACTACCGGTACAAAATGTTGTGTTTTTTTACACACAAAATTTTTGCAAATTTGTCAAAATAAATATAGTTGTATACATTAATATATAAATAAAAATCTACACATTCAAACAAAAATCATCTATCTTATTTCATACTGATATATATTTACATGAAAGATTTGGCGGAATATTAATCAGTACATAGAATCTCTATATACGAACTCAACAACCAGTTCAACATCCTGAATATGTATTGATCACTTTAAAGGTCATGACCTTAAAAATTTATTGGACTAAACCATTAAACTAATGGCGGTAGCTTGGCAACAGGTGTGTTCACCTAAATCATTTATATTATTTGTTTAATGATATAATCTGAGATAGTTTATAAGAAACAAAACCTTGTTTTATTGTTTTTAAAAAACTGTGAATGTTTGGTATGTATGATTATGCATTTAATATGACAACCAGTGATGTCATCAAATTTATGAATAAACTTTACTGAGATATATCAAAAGAGGGCAGTATACTGCAACGCTTAATGGGATACACTGAATAAATAAAAAAGATGATTTGTAGCTTGTTTTTAAAAGTATGGTAGTTAAACGATAATCTTATGTTTAACTGTTGGTAATTATGAATAACGTTAATTTTATAGTTGTAACTAATTTCTTGTTTCTCTGAATATTTCTCTGAATTGTTCAAGCATTATTATGTGAAATGTTGAATAAAACTGCTAATAGAAATTTGGCAATTTGATGAAGCAAGTGCATTTGCAGGAGCAACATTTCATGAAAAACCCTGCGAATGAAGCTACAGGTTAACTTTTATTGCTGCAATTGGACCAGAAAAATTCACCAAAAATTGTCACTCAGAAAATTAAATTAGTTTATAAAATGGGTCTCATATCAAACACGCATGGCCTGATGACCACTGTATTTTTGAAGTTTTTCAGATTTTTGCTAAAAGACCAGATTGTAAACATTGTACACATAACAATAGTTTGCAATAGGTCAAAAATTTTAGGGGGTGTGGTAGTTAGTCTTGGAGCATTGTTTACGTAGGTCAAATGGAAATACATTCAGACAACTATACTTATATTTGCTCACTAATTCTTAAAAAAATTTAAATGTATTTTATCATTATTTATTACAAAATAAGGATTTTAAACAATAGACTATAAATCACTGTTCTTCATTATTTTTTTGGGTCAACATAAACGCGGTCTTTTATAAAATAGAATTTTAGAATTATCTACAAGAATCCACATGTGCAGTAGAAAGTAGTTAAAGATACCGTCCATCTGTTGTGTTGTCATCATACTTAATTATAATAATTTTGTTAATTTCTTGTTAATTTTAGATGAAACAGACAGAAACTGACAGTTCTTGGACAAAACTTGGAGGTTAGAATAACACAGAAAATGTATGCATGTAGATTCATGGTTGTTGATCTGTGCTGACTAGGGTGTAATAAAAACGTTGAAAGTCACTTTGGTGTACCAATAATAACATATCATACAGATCCCGCAAGATAAAATGTGTTGGCAACTTGACAAAATCAAGTTACTAGTAATGGTGGGAACATCCTCCAGTTTAATTAAAAAAAAACAAATTCAACAGGCTTCCATGATTCCTCTTACCTTATTGTTAGCTATGTCCTCCAGCTTCTGCTTGATATCGACAACTGACATGTCCTGTAAAGAGGGAGAAACATCCATTATTTAGTTGCGTACGTAAAGACTCACAGTCCGATACAGTGAGCGAAAGAACAGCGTAACAATAATCCAAAGTCCACTTGCCGTGCAAACAATTAACATTCACATACATGCGGTGTAGATAAGTCAGGTGACACATAAAACAAGGTTAAAATGCTAGAGACAAAATAACATGTATGTATGTATGCAGTTTAGGAACCGACCACCACCTAGGACCCAGTTCTAGTAGGAACAATGGTGGGTTTCACAGTCATCTATTGTGGATTAAACAATGTGAGATTGTTGTCTGGGAAGAAGGAGTTGACCTCTATATAAATAATAATCAGGTAGGCCGATAAATAGACTTAAAACTTTCTCATTATCACCATCCACTGTCATCGTATTAATAGTGCGACCTAATTCCGATATCAGTGGTTCAAAACAATTATATAGAACCTAAAGCGGAAAAATAAAATAAAAATAATTTTTATGTATAATTTGACACAACCATTAATCTGGTTATTTATAAGTAATAAAAAAAATCACTAAACATCAAGTAAAAACACAAACAAAAACCCCCTGTTGAGCTTCAGATTTATATTCACTGGGAAAACGAACATACCAGCTGACAAACAGTTACTGTTTAGTTTAAATGTAATCAATCAAATGCAGTGTGTACACGCATCTATCGTTATTTCCAAACAACGCAAAAACGTGTCCAACAGATCACAAAACTAGTCCAGCAGTTTGACAATGCAATATTGTGAATTGCTAAAACTAAACACAATGAAGGAGTCAATTCATCCCTAAACAGACAGGAACTGCATGGATATTAAAGTACATGTCTGTAAATACAGTTTAAGGCTTACTTCAATGCTAGACATGGTACAGTCGATATTACCGCTTAGAAACCAATCCATGGTGACACTTAGCTCAGTACTGGATACCGAATGAGATGAGATTACACTGCGCGAGTGTAAACCCATTACCGTTCAACACGTGCGATTTATGCACCCAATTAATCATGCTCTAAAAACATTGACATTAATCTTTTTGTTTGTCTTTAAAATTTTCAACAATTTTAAATGTCAACAAGGCATACATAATAAAATGTTGCCATGGTGATACAATGACCAATATCGGTAAAATAGTAGCACTCCATTTATTACTCTAAACAAAATATGAACACATTTTTTGCTATTTAATATCAGGTGAATTTGTTTTTTCCATAGGTCGAGTTAGCATAACTGAATTGCATGTGTCAATCCAATTTACAGTTCTCACCGAAAATACAATATTCCAAAATTTGAATAAATTTGAATTAATGCTTTAAAACAACTTTTAATTTATATATTAATACTTAATAGTGGTATTAAAATTTATTTTTTCGAAAGTGCTTTACTTGTCACAATAAAGCCACAAATACAATGCCAAACAACACATTTTCTTTAGATGGCTTTATTAGTTCATTAAACCACAGTTATGAGACGCTAAAATAATAAATTTCTAATTTATTCACCTGTTATATACCTATCCCAAATAAATAACGTTGTTACCATATGACACAAATACATTTTTGTTAAAGTAATATTTACAAAAAATAATTATTTGTATACTGGTAATAAAGAGTCGTCTCTAGTGAATCTGTCATGTGAGGGCGCTGTTTATCAACAAGAAATATTTCTATTGTTTTAAGTTTTATGAATGTAAACTTAACTGTTAGTACAAGATTGGTCAAATTGTTGTATTTCTGATTTAGCTTGCGTCAGGGTTTTAATCAGAAAATGAAAAGTGCCTTTTTAAAATGACAGGCAGATAGGCCGGCTAAAAGTCTGGCTTGAATAAATTATTTGGATAAGAGTGTGTAAAATTTAATTCAACCTCCAACAATTAATTACATTTCAAATTAATTGTTAACAGACTTTATCGCCTAATTCATTGATTATATTGTCATAATTGATTGTGAGTAGACTATCATAGAGGTGTTAGGTGGGTTGTAAATGGATTTAATATGGATGCTGGCTGGGTTGGAATGTATACAAGTATTACATGCAGACTGAGTTTGCTATGGATTGGACCGGAGGGTTTGTAACGCAGCCAATGCATTGGGAAGCTGGTAGTTGTGATTTTTAGCGGCTTTTGGGTTATATTTGGATGGTCATAATATTAAGTGGACTCTTACACTGTGGGTCAAACTGTGTTGAAGTATGGTATAAACTAGCACTAAGCACATTACAACTGAACGGCAAAAGATCAGAATATAAAAATACAATAATCACTTCACTAGAGTATTGACATAATATTTTGAAATTTTGTTTTTCTTAGTTTTGTTACACTTTTCAAAAAAAAATAAATAAAAAAACATTTGACTATTGGCATGTAAACACAGCCATGTCAATTTCCCACAATTCTTAAATTACTAATAAAGAAGAATTATCAAGTGATTATTTGGATGTAGTTCAGTATTGAAGAAGGACACTTGATAGAAATTGTCATAAATATTATGATTTTCCAACCATTTATGTTTGATAGTCAGTTTGGAATGTACTGCCAGATTTACCATCCTTTAAACACTGTTGGCTCTGTGGCTATGGGGGCCACGCAAAAATCACAATATTTCTCTTATTAGAAGAGCACATAATTACACAGATTACACATAATTTAGACATGTAAAGACTGCTTTATACACAGGTAGATTTTAATCATGCACTGGTCACTTGGTTCATTGCTGAGTTGACCCCTAGCAAACACCTCTACAAAGGGTTGATACTTCACTTTAACTCATAATTTACATAATAATATTACAATACAGGTTTCATATTTATGAGAGTTATACATGTGCATGGAAAATATATTAGTGAAATTGCAGAATAAAATCCAATTGTTCCCAGTTATAGACAATATGTACAAGCTATTAATATAAAAGTATATGGTAGTAAATTCAAAGACAAGATTACAATGTGATTGTTAATTTGGACTACCGGTACCTGCTGTACAGAGACTGGTCTCACCAGCTGAGATGTAAATACAGGATGAAATGAAAGAGATAGTAAAGGAATGTTAGGTGTGTACATTGTAGTAAATCATGTTGTAATATGCTAATGCAATTTGTTCCTACAAAGAGTAACCAAATAACTCGCTACTTCTATCATGCATAAGGACACATTACATAAAATCTATAGAGTAAACAGTTATTTTAGAACTTGTAACCAGAAT